TAGTTTATCAAATCCCGTTAAGCTGTGGTCGTGTATACATCGGCCAAACTGTCCGATGTGTCAATGACCGGGCACGTGAGCACGCACGTGTAATGAAGTGTGACTACATCTTGAGAGCCCTTCGGGTTTCGTCGGAAAAATGATGTTCTAAAGAACTCGTGGCGATGCTTTGTCTCAAGACTGACTTTTTATTGCAAACAATGCTGTATGCAAATGACCCAGACTGAGACTCAGAACCAGTTACATGGTGTGAATTGTTAACGCTAAGCCAGTGATAATATTATAACAGTACTCACATTTGAAACTGTCAGCCACCGAACAAAGTTCTGGTAATGTCACCACAGCGAACAATGTTTCTCGAATGCTCAGTTGAAGACGATGAAAGAGGACTTCAAACAAAAATCAGAAAATGGTTGAACAGGCGACATGCTGGATTGGCTAGTCTGACAAACCTACAAAAAAACGTTACTCGGCGTATCATCACCGAGTGATGTTGCCTCCAAGGACCCATGTTGTAGTTGTTTCCTTTTGTAAGGTAACATTTTGAGCATGTAAAAGAAAAAAGTGTTTTTCACTCTAATGGACCACAGCTGACCCTACAAACTGTACTGCCGATGCAGCGCGGTCTTACCTTCCTTCATTGTGTTGCTGCACTTAAGCGGAAGGTCAGACGGTGAGCTCTCGGTGCTCAATTGGCTAAATGGCTCATCGACTGAAAGTGTGGTCCATCTTGAGGTAAAACATTCGCGGACGCGTAGGCCTCCGTGCCTAGAGTGGCGCAATCCGCTCCGACACTTGGACATTTCGTAGCCGAGCGACCAAGCGGTGCTTTGAAATCGCCACCGCCACTACCGCGCCGCCAGGGTCTATTCAAGAAACAAAGTAAACTTCAAGCTCTCCAGATGCCTAACTAGAAGCGGGAACTGAGCAATCTTGCTGACCACATTGTTTCTTTGTGACTCTGCCTTTGATGTTGATGTATTTTTTATAACGTATGCAATAAAAACGGAATGTAAGAATATCTGACAGTATGTATGATTAGTCTTAGCAATATAAAAAAACAATACACCCACAACTTTTCCCTTTAATACCAACTACTGACACAATTGGCCCTGAACCGCCTACGTTGAACAGGTAACCGCCACATTAGATTATGGTTTCGTTCCGGTTTGGGTTCAATATGAAGCGCTCAATTTCGGTTTCGTACCGGTCGGGTTAAAAATAACGGTTTTCTTCCGGTTTTCGGTTCCGGTTCGGTTCGACACCTTGGTTACAATATTGGTGGTAGAGATCAAGGGAAGTGTGAAATTGAGCACGAAATTAAGGGGTTATACCAGTTCTACAGTCTTACCGGATACAAAAGTTTGACGCAGAATTGGAAAGATGCAGAAAGGTTTCTAGACTAGGTGGCACAAGCTACTGCCCAATATGGAGGGCACAGCTGCCAGCATCCATCCATTCATATAGCCACAGCCGGCAGCTCCGTCGCCGCTGGTTCAAACACTCCACTGTCCCCGCACCGTCCCGATTTCAGCACAGCACCGACGGCGCTTGCGCCGAATGTGGCGAGGAGCCGGCTGTGTGAGTGAGGCCTTATACAGACATTTCCTTACATTGCATTTAGAATATGAGATAAGGGACAAACCTGTCAAGTGAAGAATGACGTCTGTCTTAAATGTAGTCTGCAAAATAAAATTAAATGGCGCAAGAGAATTGACCTCCAGCAAGTTTGGCTGAAGGCGAATGCCAGGCACCACTTTAAGGATTTGTGTAGACAGATCTTTATTTGTTTGAACAGATGCGCTTTTCACTTTCAGCGCCGTCGAGAGTAAATCTGGCATCGACAATGTTGCACCTGAGTAATTTCCATGCAGACGGCTTCTTTTCGGCATCACATATTGCGTGCCTCAGATGCTTGTGTCAGGCACTCACAAGCTGTCTTTGACATGGTTTTCACCCAACCCTTTGTGTATAAGTAAATTAATTGAATTGGATATCTTAAAGGGGCCCTGCAACAACTTTTTGACCGATTTTTAATTTGCACCGATCCTGAGCGCACTGAACATAGTAACTTAATGAAACTTTTCTATTCTCAAAGTTCGCTTTATTTTAAAAGTTATAGGCAAATTAGAATTACAAAAACAAGCAAAAAATAACCTCCTTCATGACGTCGTAGGTCCTGGCTTGAGTGGCCGTGAACTAGAGGAGGGATAGTGAGTTCATCGAGCGCTCACCGCTGCCGCACTCCGTGTCGACAACTCGAGAGGGCACCACTAAAGCACGTGTTGGATAGGCTGTATGAAGCGAACGGTCAGGGCGGCTCGCATTGCATTTGCTGCGCGATTAAAGACTAATTCGGCAAAACACTTCATTGGCCACAAACGACAGCAAACACGGGGTAAATATCAGTTCAGAACGGGAGCCACTTCGTGCTGCCATACCGCCAAACGGCAAAATCGCCAGCCAAGCCCGCGCCGAAGCCTTTGGAACGCTCGGAAACGGTCGGATCCTCGAGCCGGTATACGACCGCGGCGCCGCCGCGTATATCCGGGACCTTTCTACGCTCCGCGTTCATCGGCGCCTCATCCCACTAGCCCTTTCTAGTATGCGGCGTTTTTTCCGCCGCTTGGTGGTGGGTATGTCGATGGGTCATTTCTTGTTTCCACACTTCATAAACTGCATTTGTTTCTTTTCTGATCTAAAATACGGAACAAAAAAAATACTTTCATACATAATTGAAACGGTTCGCGACACTTATATTTTGTATCTCGACTAAAAAAAAAGATTTTAGCGGTTCTGACCAGTAGTAAACCCAGGACCAAAGAAGTCGCATATTGCGCGCTTTTGCCAACGCGGGTCGCCCTCGTAGGTGGAGGAGGTTTCCGCGTCGTCCGGTTAAAATATGACGCACTGATATTTAATTACTCTCTCCGCGCCCGCTGGCTTGCCCGAACCCCAAGAGACCTGGAAACCGCAAAAAAGGTAGACGCTTAAATATGATTGCAGGGCCCCTTTAAGGATTAATGACTGCACACATGGCAACTAGCACAATGTATAGTTCCTGGAATGTTCATACCGTGAAAGTGATTCCCCCATATAATCAAAAGCAACTATGAAGGCAGAGCACAATGCTTTAAAGAAACACACATAGTAGCTCCTTGCACTGACTATATTTGCCTTCTTTAAGATCATAAATATACCATGCCCTTCTTATTGAGCAGTTATCATTTAAAAGGCCCCTAAAAAAATGTTTTTCTTAAACAATTTAGTTGGGACACGCGTGTCAAAAAATTAATTTCATGTGGAAAAAAATATTTTTACAGCAATAATTTATTTTTAATTCTGTGCGCAAAGTCCATGACGTCACGGAATAGTCATGCACTCTTTCCACCTCAATGAGATGGTCATACCCTCTCTCCGCCTCAAAGTGATGGCCAAGCCGATCCACCTCTCCCCCACGCGCCCAAAATGCTGAGAGAAAATAAGTGGAAAGGAGGTGACTACTGACTAAATTGTGTCACGCGCCAACAATATTGCTCTAAAAAAAAAAAATTTTTTTTGTGTGTAATATTACTTTTTTAACGTCCCAAACACTGTTTGAAAAAAAAAAAAAAAACATTTGTTTTCCTTTTCAGGGGCCCTTTAAGGGAAGCTGAAGCGGTTTTGTATTTGAGGAAACACACTTAAATCGCTTTCATTTGACCTCCAAGATCATGAATATCAAAATTATTGTTTTTTTATTTGCTGCATGGAGGCTGCAGAAAATCATTTTCAAAGTACCGCCGAAGGCCCTCCTTCCTGGAGCATGACGTCACAAAAGGAGTTTTCGGAATCTCCACTCTCGCGCATCTTCAGCACCTATCAAAGCAATGAACGCACACTCTTGCTATTTTTCATAAAGGCAGAAAAAGACGTCCTGACTGGTACCAGTGTGGGGGAATATACCTGGCAAGCTTGCAATTGCATGTGCAGCCCTCGAGAGACACGCGCTTGGCGGCCCAAAGATCCTCTTATGACATCACGACAGGTTGGAGGTTTTTTGTGTTTTCTCGCGTTCAGTTACATCTTCGAGAAAACAATTGTGATGTTAAGATTCACGGGATAAAACTATGCTAGAAGGAACTTCGATCCCTTTTTTTCCTTTTAAAGAAATGTTTCACCGTCCCTATAATCAAATTTGTGCTAAAAAATAATTGGCCTCTCAACCCTCGCATTTTTTAGTCAACTAAATACTAAATGTGCGCCAGTGCTAACGCACAATTTCTTTCCTCACACGTAAACAGTACGCTGACTATGCAAATAGTCAAATGTATATTAAATCAAGTGCAGAAGTTGTGCACATAATGATGACATGCAGTTAGGTAGTAAATATAAATGTCAGACGACACTTCACAAAGCAAGGCAAAATTTTGCGATGAAACGCGACAAAAAACAAGAATACAACAACTTCACCAAGGCGCGGAGGGAATAGAGGAGCGACAAGTTGCAGCCACCTTATGGCGGCCACGTCACGTGATTCCAAGATGGCAACGCCCATGCAACGGACGGTGAAAAGGTCTATACATGACTTGCATTGACATCACATCAGCCACCACTGCCCTGGACCATGCTCCGTTCCCCGCACCCTCTGCAGCATATATTTGGCACCAATGAATTTTTTCTTCTTGGCAAATCTTGCCGAGAGGTACAAATTCGATGGTGCGAAATGCATGCCACAGAAGGTAGGGGCACAGAATGGTACGGAGCAATTACGGCTGGTATGGTGCCATGTGACGTCCCTTGCAAGGCATGTTTATATTGAGACAGCTCTGAGAAATGAACGAGGATAGCGTTCGATTGATTTTCACAAAGCATCTCTGTGACAAACAAACAATGTTATCAGTTGTCCAACGAGAAATTTTCACTTGACAAACGGGTGCAAAGCCACTAGAAATTGCACGTGTGTCCACTGACGTTCGATTGCTCGTCTAATATGACAAAAGGCCGGCATTAGCACTTACCAGAATGTCCACATAGAGAACCCACACCTGTTGACCAGGTACGACTGCCAGTGACCTTAGATCCAGGCACTTGGGAGATCTGTAGGCCTGTGCTAAGGCCGAACTGATCTCCGCGGCGATGTCCTCACCACCTCGGCCTTCGAATTCCGGGTCAGCATTTGCAGTGCTGCGAGAGTTGGGCTACTTCTGCACTTTTCATTCAACCAACTAGTACGCAATGGAATGCTACCAGTGTACTCACCAGTCGACAAAGAACTCTATGCGTCCTTGATCAGTAGAACCAGGATCCGGAGTTTCTAGTTGTGCCTTGACCCCCACTAAAATATCTGTGTTTGCCTACAAAGGTATCAAACGTAAAGGCGCTGACTGGCCTAGTACAGTATGAACTCACTTACCAGCCGGACATGCGCCGAACCGCTGCAATTCGATACAACGCCAGTTTCAAGTTCGATGTCACGGTATTCCAAACAACTACGGCCATCACAGCGAAGGTTCTCCTAAAACGTAAGAAAATATTAAAACTCCATCGCAGACACATTACTGTCACGTGGACGCCGCTCCAGAGTTGCGAATTATTGCATACCTGTATTCCATGGATTATAAATGTCTTCTCCGCATCACTGATCAGCACATCAGACATCGTAGAAGCGGCAGAAACCCTTCAACTGGTAAGTATCTTATTCATTCTCAAACCGCACAACCCATACAAGTCATGCACCAGTGATACCACCACAGTAACCGCAGCACTATGGCAACTACGGCGACTACGGTGCCTGGAGCACGTCCTGGTACGTCTTCGATTGGTGTTACGTGTGTTTGGTCCCGAATTGGCAACAAATGACGTCACAGAAGCCGAAGTGTCATGCTGGTGCATGTCATGACCCTGGCAGTTGGTCGTAGAAATGCTGAGGAGAAGCTGCAAGTAGCACCACCGAACGCGAGTGTCGCTGTCGTCATGACGTCGCGACTTCTGGCTGCGAAACCAGGCGAAACTTCCGTGGACTGCCACACTAGAGAGCTACATACAGCAGAATAGGCGTCTGCCACCTAGGCCACGGCTATTGAGACGCCGCCAGGATCGCAACTGGCGACAAAATTACCTTTTGACGTCATCAGGCGGAAATCGAGGGACTATTCTTTTTTTGAGGTGGTACGCACTACGTACGCACTTGATTCAACTAAGGGCATCGACGTCGGTAACCCCGAGGCCGATTCCACTCCAAAGCGAGGGGCGAGAGCGGGAGCATTCACTTATAGTTAACGTTACTTATGGCGAACGCCGCGAACGCCCACGTTTCATCGAATGACACTTTAATCTCGCACGAATCCGAAAGTGTGTTACTCTTTAGCTAGCCTGCATCTTTTTATACTGTCGTACTGCATAATAGCGAGTTCGTTTCACACGCACTGGCACCGTTCGAGTTCTCTCCCAGAATGCATCGCACTCACAGAGTGTTGCACGGAAAACTGGACTCAAACGAACTCGCCAAATGCACCGCGTGCAGAAGACTGATGTTGCCGCCATCTATGTTGTAGAAAAGGTACCGACTTCAAACCGAAACTAGCGCCTTTCTGTTCGGAGTGATGCGTGGGAATGCGAGAATGCAGTCGGCTACCAACGTTTATCTACAAACTGTGGTCGCTGCAACCTGTAGTTTATAGTTGCGATGAAGCAGCTCGGCTGCCGTAGAGATAGTTACAGACGGCGTAAATTTTCGCACCCGGTTGTATACAAAGCAGCTGGTTACGATCTTTCAATTCTTATAACCGTTTACACTGAAGAAAACTGATGATGCTGTCCGAGCAGAAGCTTGATCCGTTTGAGCATGGTATTATGCGTGAACCACTGAAAGGGTACGGCTTAAAACTAGCCTGTTGGAATATCCAGCAAAACTGGGACTTTCGATTTGGATCGTCATTATAGGTGGATCAGATATTAGCCTTGGTGAGGGCGTCAAGAACGAGAGCTTTCTCGAACAAAATACGACGGGACAAGTTAGCTGACGTAGGTAAATGTTAAACATGATGATGTTGCCCAATCCACGGGTAAAGTTACCATCTTTAGCTTTATCTGATGCTTACTGGGCAGTCAGAGGTTTCTGCCGGGGGAGTTTTGCCGACAAATGTTAAATTTTTCACCCGCACACGGATGATGATAGACATCTCGGGGGCCGCTGTTACGTTTGTTCTGAGCATTTCTTTACACACTGGTACATTTCAGCGTTTGTACGGCAACAGAGCGATTTAAAACCTGCAAATAAATCACGGGTTGTCAATTGCTTCCTTCGGGAAATAGCAGACGCTCACAATTCAAGCTCGCGTTTGATTTCGTGGCCCGCGGGACGCGATTTCTATCAGAAAATCTACTTTTTGTTCCGTTCGGTTCCGCGACACATCGTAGTAGACGAACCCTCGTCGTCTGCTCCCGCTCCTCGCCGGCCCCGCCGGAGCGAGGCATGACGGGATTGCATTTTGGCGCACTCCCGATTTTCTCGGTGCAGCGAGTGCATGCACGCGTGGGGTATCAGCGCTGAAACGAACTCGGAGAGTGCAACCACTCGTGGAGTGCCGGCCGAAACGAACCCGTTCCACGCTGCGAGTGGGCACGCGTGGGCACGAGTGCCGTGAAACGAACTCGCTATAAGAAACAGACATGCAAACTATATTTTTAGGACTTCATTTATTTTAAAACGCACTAATGTGACATATTTCATGGTTTCTCAACCGGAATGCTGGTAGGTGCATTGGTTTCAGTTTCGATTATGAGGGCCAAGGTTACAGTGGGTGCCCGCAAAGCGTAAGCGGGCGATATGCCGAGTGCCCAGAACGTCCTGCAACCTTTTAACTCGTGCTTAATACCCACGGTGGGCAAACCTAACCATGCATTCAGACAACTTCAGACAAAGTGTACCATGGAGAGAGAGTAGTTGCAAAAGAGGCAATTCTAACGTGGTAGTTAAAGAGGGGCCGAACGGTCATGAAGATTAGGACATATGACCTAAAGCGGTCGAAACAGTCACAAAAGTGCGTTCGAACACCAACCGAATACAACACAATGTCACTATCAAGTAAACGAATATTTATTTCCATTCCTCAAAACTAGGATGCCGCTGTGCCATGTCTGTATCTTGCGGGGCTTGACCAACGCAGTGCAACTGCAACAAACGACAAAAAGAGCGAAGCTTGTCACTATACTGAATGAGGTGAGAATTGTAACCAAACCGTTGACCAGACACAAAAAAGTGAAAAGGACAGCCCGTACTGGAAGCTAAGGAAAGATTGCTTAGCACTTCCATAGTGCGTGGATGGTAAAAGCTCGCACGAATACCACGGACACTACGAAAACAGCCAGCTCGTGCAAAGGCGCGCCAAGTTACACATATTCCATTATTCTATAACAATTACAATTCGTCTACTACTATTAACCGAGTCGAAGACAAAACTTGTACTGCACAACACCGTAAGCCTAAAACGCAGAAACGAGATAATCTGACAAAGTCATTGCGCGATTTTTTTATTTTTTTTTTCGTCGGAGAATTTGCATGCTACGTACCGTACTAAATACTGTTTACTTCTTGTAGTCCTGCAGGTGGACAAGAACCCAGGCTGGACCGGCGAGGATGGTACCGACGATGACCGCAATGTGAGCGCACTTCTCGGCAGTCGAGATGCGAACCTGCGGTGGAGTGCCTATGTAGCGAGTCACCGAAGTGTGTCGAACTTGCATTGCAGCGGTTCTGAAAATCGACGAGCTCTTCTGAAGGGCCGAATTCATCATGAAGTCGTCCTCGTACTACGGCAACGAATCTTTACGAGAAGACCGCTCTCCGTACTTGTGAGCTTCAGCAACGCACCTCCCCGAAGCTTGAGAACGAATGAAGGTGGAATAGGTGGCGCGGGCGGCGCAGGGAGCGCGGGTGACGCTACCGCTGCATAAGATAGGTAAATTGTAGCTTATTGTCGTATCGGTCGGCAGCTTGCGCCACCTGACGGACATCTAAATTTCTGTCTGCCGTTTAACTGCATACCTCCGTACCTCCGTCTAGCCCACTGGTCTATCGACCTATCAATTTTGCGTGCTATTCACGCTTTCCTACACCTTTTCCACCAATCTTATAACGTCATTTTTTGCCGATCCGTTCAAACTCCCCTGTAAATGTTTTTCTTATATATATATATTTTTTTTTTACTGAAGACCTGGCTTGCGCCCAATTTGCGGGCACGTTTAGCTTGCTCCGTGGCTTACTCAACCTCATCGCCGATCTAGATATTAAAAATCTCGGCTTTCATTTCATTTACCTCAAAGCGCCCGACGGCACGACATGAGGGTGGGGGTTCAGTTCATGCATTTTGTGCAACACTTTGCTTGGTTCAATTTAATTTACTGATTGTGTCTGTACAGCCTACGTGTGGCCTCACCCTTTTCCTCCCGTCTCTCCTAGTTAACACTGGTCGCAAAGTCAGTTTGGTGGGTAATGATAAGTTTGGTGACCACAAGGGAGACGAAAGCAAAGAGGCTCCCACCCACTGTTAAGCCTCGCCTATTAGATTATAAATGGCTGGGAATTGCTACTGCCAAAAGCTTTACAATGTACTAAAATATTACAGTAAAATGCCCGTTCCAAGAAATTTTGGCTTAGATACATCCAGTCGCCGGATTTGGGCTTACTCTACTTTGTAAACTTCCTAGGTGTGAATGCAGTCGTACAAGAAGGCTCTAGCCCCGCACAGGTTACTTGCTTTGCCTTCAGTTACTGGTGAGCTATAAAATAAGGAACACACATGCCCGACATGAAATCAATTGCACATTTTATTTAAACCACATCCAGTGGACATTTTATTTAGACCACATCCAATGGAAGACACCTGTTTAGCAATGTTCGCACTCTTCGACTAGGAAAGTTAAAAACAGGAGACGAAGCACTGTGCCAAGGGTTCAGTCTCAAAGGAGGCATGCACCACATACACAAGAAACTAGCACACACACAAAGAAAATACAGATCAACTGAAAGATAGCCTAAATATATTTTTTTTTTCAATGCAGCCGTATACATAATTTTTCAATTTCATGAAACAACTTGGAAGCACCAACCGACAAATCATTTCAGCCTCAAACGATAGGCTTGTCTCCTTTTATAAAATGATATTCATAGCAAGTTGGACGAACAAGCTATAATATTGACATAAATGCAAACAGCACAGATAATGAGTTTTGTTTTCTTCTTTCGTTAGTTCCTCTAAAGGAGTAGAAATAGGAATAAAGGCTATGTATTGATATTGTTTTTCTTGAGAATTGCCTTGAGTAATTGTGTATATGCATGTGATCAGAGTGACAAGGAATCCAATGCCATATCCCTCCCAAGTCATTTCAGCCTCAAACGATAGGCTTGTCTCCTATTATAAAATGATACTCAGAGCAAGTTGGACAAACAAGCTATAATGATGACATAAATGCAAACAGCGCAGTTCTTTTATTAGTTCTTCTAAAGGAGTAAAAATAGGAATAAAGACTATGCATTGATAGTTTTTCTTGAAAAGTGCCTTGAGTAATTGTGTATATGCATGTGATCAGAGTGACAAGGAATCCAATGCCGTTTCCCTTTCTAACCACACCACACACACAGGATGTAAGCACTAATGATCTGTTTGTGACATAGATAAAAACAACAAAAACGTCAGACAACATTCCTTTGGTGATTAGCTAACATAAGTAAGTTTGTTCACATTCGGCCTCCTTGGCATTAGTTGAGCGATTGCTTGCTTCAATCAACGGCAGAACATGGTGACCTCACACATGAAAAGTCTCAACGATGGGCATTTGTTACTTTCTGAAACAAATAAAAAGTAAGTTAAGAGGTGTGGCAACCTTGTCTGCTGTACTAAACGTCAAAGATCCAGACGGACACTACACAAGAACCATAGAGCCCAAACCATTAGCAAAACTGGGGGAAGAGCTCTCTAGCCCAAACTAGGCTTTGACAGCAAGTTCACAATGCAGTCACCCTGGTGAAAGGCTAACGGAAGACTATGTTTACAAAGGGGGCACTTTTCTCTAAACCTTGTGAAGTATCACTGCCCATTAGTGTTTAGTGCTGTGGGCTCTTGCTCTTGTGTAGACTCCAAATGCAACACTGGCTCATGCTATTGTTTCTCAATTCCATAGAAATTAATTGTATGAAAAATTTTGTCCATTCAATGGGCCACACACAACTAAAAAAGATTTGCAGCTTGGCTATCAATATAGTAGCTCACACTAGGTCTCTGCAATGACTACATGCTATCCCAAAACAAACCAACAAGCACACCTCATAAATGTCCCCTCCCAGATGTCTTCCTTTGCAGTCCAAACATACACTCACAACCAATGCAATCTTTGTAGTGCATGACAAATATCAAACAAAATTAAATGCACTCAAAAAATTTCTAGAAATTTGCCTTGTTTACAGAACTGCCTGATTAAACAGACTACCCTGCCATGGGCAATTCCACTAAAGTTGCCACATGACAAAAAAAAAATATACATCTTGGTATGTCAACTTTTTATTGACAAACAAAATATTTCTGGTCTTCTTTCTGCGCACTTTTCATAAACTGTACATTTCTAATATACTGCCATTGCCAAACGAACCGAGAAAAGAATGTTGTAGAGAATTATTCAATACACTCTAAAACGAGGTGGAAGCACTTCCAGATTACGGAAGTCACAACCATACAACGCCATCCCATGGAAATTGCATTGTGGTGGATTCCTCCAGTGACCGGATTCGTCAACCCACGCTGCCGTCATCCAGCTCAGATAATTCGGAACGAGGTGGTGTCGACGAAACAGGGGAGCTTGAAACGAAGTCTGAGACTGAAGCCTGCCGCATCATTCGTTGCCGAAATCCATCGGAGTCGAACGGCGTAGCGTGCTAAAGCAAGAACGAAAGAATATACCATCTGTACATATGAATGGAGTTTGCTTGTCTCTCCCCAAAGGGGAACAATGAAGTCGTCAACGAGATACACTGACTGCAGATGCCCGTGTCGAAGCGACATGCCAATCGCGCTGTCAAAGCAGGAGCAAGGCAGGAATTCCCAGGTGGAGCTATGGAGCAATGCGAGAGCAAGCCAGCAGTCTGTACTTCCTGAATCATCGCAAGCAAGCCTTTCGTGCCTGGGTTGCAGAAAGAAGGGCAGGCAGTTAACATGCAGTGGTTCTTTCCATTCAATGCCTGCAATCTTCAGTACAGCAGCAAGCATATAATGCTGGCAGGGATGTGCAAACAATTCACAATTAGCAGGCACAAACTTTGAGGGCAAAAAGTGCAACCATCTGCCACGAGCCAAACAGTTAGCATTTGCATTGCAGACATACGTACAAAAAGATCGAAAGAAGCTGAAGCACTCGACAGTAATGGAAAAACTTGGGAATCTGCATAAAGCAATGTCTAAATGTTTAACACAGCAAAAATAACCTCGTAGTATATGTAAGTGTACTAAACATAGAATTTTTATTGCATGCGAAAAGTAGCAATGAAAAAATGGTGCATTCATGTTCAATCGTTTCAAGCAAGCTACCGGTGTACCCAATGTAATGTCTTGAGGCTTTCATAATCAGTCCACAAGTGCACTAAATGGTATCATGCCAAGGAAGCTAAAACACAAAGTGTTACTATTGAGTGATTAGTGATGTGATTACTGGAGTCATTTTAGAGCACCTTTTAGAGCAGCAAAACAAACTTTTAGAGCATAAGCACACATTTAATTTTCATTCATACTAATGTGAACATCATGTTAAGGTTTGTGTGTTTATGCTTACTTTGCCTTCCTGCTTCTGCGCAACCTTTTGATGGCATTAACTGCACAGAAGGTTTGACTCCCTAGCTACGTAGCAGTTTGATTGCACGTAGAAGCACAAGGCAAGGGCAGTAAAAAAATTATGTGCATAGTTATTTTATGTATGAAATCAAACATAAACCAAAAAATGTATTATGCTGAAATAATGTTTGAATACAAAAATTTCAAGCACCCAAATCAATGTTTCTTTTTAAGTTCTAAATGTTATTATAAAGTAACAGTCCTTAATTTAGATAAAAAAACAAAGCTTATGTCATTTTATTATGAACATCAATGACAATCTATAAGCAGAACTTTATGATAACATAAATCAGCATGTAAATGATAAATATATTTCTTAAAAAAAAAAAAGAAAGAAAGAAATCCCATTCAACTCATTCAGATTATTCCCAGGCTTGCATTTACTGTTCCAGCTAATTCAGTTTTAATTTACTGCATTCACTGTGCCATCAAACGGATGAAACCTATAAGAGCTGACCAGGAATAGCTTATAGAGCAGTCCGTAACAGTTTTCTCGCAATACTCAAGTATCCCTGATGAATCTCAGATGTGAAAAAGAAATTGTCAGAATATTGCAGCCTACCATATATACTAGCCACAGTTTTATTCAGAAAAACCGGGTGCAACTACCCTCCCCTTACAGGTCTGCTGTGGCGAAGCAAGATATGCAAAATTGTGAAGACTATGCAGTTTTCGATTTACTGCAGTATACCACTACTGCGCGGTGACAAGCACACTCTACGATCTAGCTACCCCGGCAGAACAGACGGCGAGCATGAGAAATATTGCAAAAGTTCAGAGTGCTGTTAATTTTGATAGAGATCAAATTAAATTTGAGGCGATAATCAAAAGTTTTGGAAATTCACACAATACCGTAACAATCTAGCCATACAGTGGCGCCAGATTTATTTATAGTCAGTAATAATATAAAGCGAAAATAAGTTTTGTCGCAATGCTGGCACAAATTCCTCACATTTTGGCAAAATGTAGCATTATGTAGCAGGGTAGGCACTTTGGCGCAGTAATTACATCACTCGCTGGCATTCCACAGTTAGCCGTGATAGAAATGAAGATGCAGGAGTGCCCCTTACTTAACTGTATAAACCTAGGAACTAATCAATTAAATCATTTTCATCTATATAAAGATAACCATTGAGCACAATCATACAGCCATATCTAGCCCACTGAAACAATTTTGTCTACCCAAAAGGGGACGTCTCGAGTGCTTCAATCACTGGCAAAAATGTGTGCGACATTGCATGGGCCTCATTACTGGCATTGGGCAAGAATTAATGATGTCTTTACAGCATCACAAATGATGTTGCAAAAAATTTCACTAAGAGCAATGGCTTGCAATTATATGAACGAGTGATTCAGTTAGCTGAACAAAAATGTGACGTTCTTGTTCCTAAAAAAAAAATAGTTTCATTAAGCAGACAAACCATATGCTGTACTGCAGCATATCACATGAAAAGTGAAACAAAGCCAACTACATAACACTTAGTAATGAACTCCAGAAATTTGCTGCAGGAACATTTCAACCAATGTCTGGATAGAAGAGCAAATATTGCAAAAGTTGCCTTTTTTTATATAATGATAGTAGATTGCATTCCCACTGTGAGCAAGATGGTTAGCCCACTTCAAAATGCAAGTATGGGTGCAACTATTTCTACTTTGATCTTAGATCGTTGTGGTTTCTGAAGTACAGTAACAGACGATGTGAAAAAGCCCAGGTGAGCGCGTGTCTCCGAAGGCCTCCAGCGCACTCTAACGGAAGAAAGCAGAGCTATTACTGAGGCTATTGTGTGCACAATCGACATTTCAGCAGCTGTTCAATTTCTGTCGTTTCTCCCCACTTGGTCGGCAAACGATTGTTGGGTCAACACCAATTTCGGTGTTGTTTTTGGATCGAGCTCGCGGCAATCCAATACAAAAAACGACAATGAGAGATCGTAGAGTTGAGTGCAGTGTTTGTGCATTGCATGAAAAGGTCATGGGATAAAAGCAATGAGAGGTTTTTAGCTTATTTTATATACAGCAATCCCTCGTTATAACAAAGTCAACGGGACGGTAAAACAATTAAAAATATAAACGGTAATTCGATAAAAGCGATAGAGCCAAGAAAACAGTGCCAGAGCCTTGAAGGTGGACGAGAACAATACAGAACACTGACCATATATTGAAGAAGGGACACGGTCGAGAAGATCTTTTTTCTTTTAAATGTTGATTTTGAAAAATAATTTAATTAGGTTCACAAACTCCTGAAGAGTATTTCCCCAAAGTTTCATTCGTATTCGATACATAGATATCTTGTTATCAATTATTTTCGGTGCACCAGTGACGCGAGAGGATGGGGAGTGGAGCAGCGGCTGCACGGAGCATTGCAATGTTTGCCTTTTTCGACTCTGAAGAGCGCTGCGCGAGCTAGGCCTAGCTAGGAGATTGTAGTATCGTTGGAAAGCTGAACTCTTCTGTTTTCGGCCTTGAAACTAATCGTCGTTCGAGAGTAAGTGAGCACGCTGGAATACGTGTGTGAACCTTATCGAAATTCACGTGATTTTGGGAGAAAAAGACGCTTCGCGGACCCCTATTGGCCAAAATAAAGAAAAGCGAGCTCCTATTGGCCCGTGCAAGTCGCATGCGCGCTGGCTCGCCCATCGCATGCTAGTTCTCGTTTGGAAGCCTACTTCACTGCTTTGTCGGTCTCAGTCTCCTTCGTGAACTTTCTATCTACTTTTCGATGATCCTTTTGGCGATCGTTTCGAGGATGCCTGCTGTAAAGTCGCGAACGCGTCAAAGCTTCGGTCGCCGTTCCCGATTGAAGAAACCGCGAGGACTGCTTGGTGGAAGGTATGCTATCGTCGCCACCGGCGATGACAACGTGCTCAAGTCGTTGAGATCATCGCCCGTTCTACCGGTGCCTGCAGCAGCAGTGGCAGTACCCGAGACTGCTACGTACTGCGACTCGGATGCGCTCACCGCCTTTGAGAGGAAAATTAGCTTTCTGGAGGCAAGCGGAAGCCACGGGAGCACCGAATATCCCGCAGAGCCCTGCGGCGATGGGGCGGCCTGCTACCATTTGGTGAACATGGCTTGTCTGCGAAGCCTGGTTAAAGTGCTGCTCTGCCCAACTTGCCAAGCGTGTGATTTGGAACTTACAAGAAAGCGATGCCGGAGCTCATCTAACATTCGTCGCTGAGTGTCCTGTCTGCGGAGTCGTCATATCCGCACCACTCTCGTCGACCATCGATGGCACCAAACAGAACAAACTTGCAGCACAGCTCGGAATAGTTTCGCACAACTGCGGTATTGCTTTACGAAGCTGATCGTTTTCTTTTACTGAACTAACGCACCTCCGCTGATGATCCTCAAATCTTATCAGAAGATCGCAACGAAGACGCATGACGCAACCGTACAGGCGTCAGCAAACGCAATGGCTGAGGCTGCGCGAACTGTGCGGAAGACGCTAGGGACCTCGGATGGCAAAGACCAGCTACAAAATGTCTGCGTAAGTTACAATGGGACTTGGCACAAACGAGGCCACATGTCTCATTTCGGTGTTGGCGTTGCCATCGAGCTAGACATGGGCCTAGTTTTAGATTACAAAGTTGTAAGCAACTACTGCCATGGTTGCAGCATTGGACCAAAAGAGGGTGCAAGAGGACATAAAGAGTGGATGAAAGGGCATCAGTCTAAATGCCAGAAAAAGTTTGGCGGCTTGGCCAACGCTAGGCAGCAGGCATGGGCGTACCAACCAGGGGGGCAAGGAGGGGGCCCTTGCCCCCCCTCAGTTCTCAAGAGTGGGGAAGGGGGGGGGGGGGCAAGGCACGTGTTTTGCTCCCCTTGAAACGGCTGCACAGGGCAAACACTGGCCGGCGGAACCCAAGGTAACCAAGAGCACCGCCCCCCGCCCCTAGGGAGGGAGGGGGGGGGGGGAATCTGGTTTGCCTCTCCACTCAAAAAAAAGGTGGTCTGACACTGGCAGCAGATGTGATCCTTAGCCGGTCAGTGGAATTCCACAAGCTGCAATACATGACCATGCTCTGCGACGGTGACACTAAAGCCTACAACCAGCTCTATAAGGACGTCAGCGAAGAAGACTGAGTGAACCACGTCGCGGAGAGGCTATATGCAGGTATGGAGAAATTGAAAAAGGCAAAGAAGGGACACGGGGGATGAGGCAAGTTCACAAATGTCATAATGAAAAAAATGACAAACGTACTGCGCCAGTGCTCTAAAAGGGAATGCACCCCAAATGTGAGAGCGATGCAGTGTGGAGTGTATGACACCCTGCTACACATGTATTCTACCGATGAAGACCCTCGGCACACTGTGTGCCCCAGGGAGAGGATTCGTGATGTCACCATAACTGGCACCTTGCACTCCAAGCAGCTCTTCAGTTGTCAGTAGCAAAACCTCATCGGCCACCATTCTTCCAAGATTTGGCCAAGGAGCTTGTGCCATTGTACAACCGACTGACACACAAGGACTTGTTCGCCAGGTGCTCACGCATGACAACTCGGAACGCCAACAAGTCCTTCAATGCTCTGATCTGGAAGAGGTGCCCGGAGACAGAGTTCGCCTCCCTCAAAAGACTGTTGAGACTGCAGACGCAGTAGCAGTTCTGGAACACAACCTGGGACCAAGAGGCTTCGAGAGGGCACTGCTCGAAATGAACATGGACGCTGGAACACACCACGACTCGCAGGCTTTTTTAAAAAGGCCACTCAGTACCGATTTGCCAGGTCCCGAGCCAGTGCACTGGAGTCTCCAAAAGTGGCTCACAAGCAACGGAAAATGGAAGCAGTGGCCTCTTATCAGAAGTGCCTCCAGGAGGAGGGTTCTTCGTACGCTACTGGACTGTTCTAGTGACCTAACAGAAGTGCCGCAGGAAAGGAATAGGTGTGAAAACTTTGAACATGTTTTTCTCCACTTCACTTTTTGGTATAAATTCCATTTTGGTCAATCTATCATTTGATAATGGCAATACAGGGAAGGCTTGTTCTTCACTTTCCCTGACCGAAATTTAATAAAGAATGCGGCTACGGATTTTTTTCGTCACTTTGCAGATGTCTTTTATAAAAAATGTTGACATTTTTTCAAAGACGAAGATGACCAAAAAGTTGACCAATTTTGCAGAAGAGAAAATTTATAGAAATAAATGACTTTTTACAAAAGAAACTTTTCATAGCCGCACCATCTGGGCACTCTGCTGCATATCTAGTGAATAAGAATCTTGAATATTGCGATAATTTTCCGACGAACTAAACAATGTACGCGTGCTGCTACGTGTCGGCGCATCGGCATCCAAAGCGGTGCTCTGCCAGCTCTATGCACTCTGCCCTCCGTTACTCATTTACTCCGTTTTCCCAGTTTGCCGTTTGCCCCGGTAAGAAGGGGGAGGGAACGCAAGGGTCTCCCCTTGCGTTCCCTCCCCATGCAGGCTTGCATGCTTTTGGTGCCGCAGCCTTCGTAATAAGTGTGATCGGCTGCCAACACACTTCGAGGAATCCGGTTAAAAAAATCTGTGCATTTCGGTTGGGACCACGTTGAACTTCGATAAAAGCGATAATTAGAAAAAAGTGATTTCGTTATGACGAGGGATTAGTGTAGCTGAACCGAAAGGGGAAATGCAGACTTCCAACAAATAAGTAAAAGCACTCTACGAAAAAAAAAACAAAAAAAAAACACTAATCGTTTTTTTTCTTGTAAACTTATAAAATGCCCGAAAAGTGATCGCTCAACTTGACGACCCGGTGGAAGCAGCAGCGGTTAATTTTGCCTTTTGCCGAGGAACCTCTAAATAAGCGCTGAAATTAGCATTAACTCAGCGACAGCTGGTCGAGTGAGGAGTGACGACAGAAATAGACCCTACTGCACCAAGCCTTCGTCAAACCTAGTCGAACCATGCCACAGTTGCGGTGCAAAATAAGTGGATTCAGTGACACCGCAAAACGTGAACGTAAGTTACGCCGAATAATGCATTAAAATAAGTGAATAGCTTCACCTGTCGCAATGAGTTTACGCTGCCAGATATGGTACGCCGCCAATGAAGCACGTTCTGGCAGATCACGGAGGGCTGCGACGGCTGCTGTCGATAGCTGCCGCGACTCATGCGCAGTCGTGGAGGCGAAGGAGAAAGCATGTGATCTGTACCGAGGGTTCCCGAAATTCCCTGCCGTTGTGGCGCCGTACGTCTTGCAACAGGTCTATTGTACAGCCACTGAAGCCTTGATAATGGTTGAGCTTTTTTGTAATGGTAGTGCTGCAGACCTTTTAAGTCACACACTCGCCTGGGTTTTTTCGCATCATCTGCAACTCTACTTGGCAGCTGAGAGTGGCCTTTAGAAAGACGAGCCCACACAAGGCGATAACAATGCTGAAATATTTTTCTTCAATTCACCCAAAACAAATGACTATTGCAAACTGTGGAAACTCCTGCATCTAGCTTTCTTTCACTGGAAACTGAACCAAAGAACGAGAAATATCAGAGCAAAAAAGACAGGGCTAAGAGCCTACCTGCTTGACCATTAGGTTCGCAACGTCAGGATCCAGAGAAGGAAAATCAGGAGGCATTTCAGTGGCATATGGCGAGCGAGCACAACCGAGAAGGAAATCCCGAGAATAGTTCTTCTTTTTGGCAGAAGCCGACGGTGGCGGGTCAGCAGTCACCACAGAAGCAGCGGCAGGCACTTGCGGACGGTCAACCTAAAAAGGAGATACCGAATAACAGTATCACCGACAAAATGTTGCAGGCCACTTAGCAAGTCGAGTCCCACCTTGGGAGCCACGTCCGTCATGTATCCGGAAACCTTAGACTGCCTGGATACTGGAGGAGGCTCTGCAACAGATTCTTTGAGACAACACACGCACATAGATGCTGGGGACGCAACCATCACAACTTCTTACTAAAAAGAAAACCGTAAGAGCAAAACACTTCATTCTTTTTTTACAAAATATTTCATTCTTTAGAGGGTGTCATCGGCTGCAATGGTTTTGTGTTCTTGGACAAATAAATATTTTAAAGGCAAGAAAACAGATGTTCCAACGCTGCGAATTTATCTGAACAATGCCTCATTTTGGTACACTTTCTTGGCTCTGTTATCTACCTTTGCACTGCAATCTGATGTGCATTACACAACGAAGTCTGGGGACTGCTTTGGATGATAAGCATGCGCCCGATGCGAGGCCATTAAATGGGCCATCACGTCAATTGCTTCACTACAATGAGCAATGGCTTCTTAATTGCAAATTTAAGATGCCAAGTAATTGCTACTGGCACCTGCAGCTTCTACCTCTTTCCAAATAAAAAAAAAAGGTGTCTTACGATGGAACCAATAATCGAGGAAAATAAAGCCTCTCGCAGAAGTGCCCCCCATGAAACGGAAGTCGGCACTGGGAAACCAGACAGTGCTGGTCCCTCACGTATTTGTGTTATTGGAATGCCATTATTCGCCTCGAGATCAAACCGTGCCGCCATCTTGCAACCGAAATTGGAAACGCGCGAAAGTAAGGATACCGCCGTGCGTCGTCTGCTACGGGCTCAGAAGCGTGGATCTCGACGACGCAAGCCCGTTTCAGGCTGAGCTTGACATTCCTTATTAAATGTTTTATGTTTTTGTTGCCGTTTCTCCTTACTAAAGGTTCTGTTGTATCGTTTGCATGCAAAGAAATTCAGCAAAGTGATTATTATTAAGTCGGAAGCTTCCATAATCTTAGTGTGTTGTTTTTTATACAATCGCTGGTCCCACATATTTTTGTTATCTCGCACAAACTGTTGCTTTCATAAAGCATTGAATGTTGAGTGGGTCTGTGGTTTGATTAGAAAATTAACCCGACTGATCACTATCCCTTCAATAAGCTAATCAATCAATAAATCCGTATATTGATTTTTGGCCGGTCATATTGCATGAAAGACGTTAAAACTACACATTTTTTTACTGGTTTTATTATGTCATAAATGGCATATTGCATTCCCACTCTAAATTTCACGTTGTGAGTCCTACATAAATATGAACATGGGAAGCCTTTTAAAATGAAGTATTTTTTAAGTTATTATTTAAACAGTATATGACGAAATGACAAGCAAACGAAATGACAAGCACGCTGAATTGGTTTACCGTGCAAGCCTGTGTCACAAAAGAAGTAAAGACGTCAAAAATATTAAAGCCGGCATATTTTACTCCTTGTTGACTTTCTCCAGCACAAGACTCCAATTAACCGGCAAAAGAAAACTGCAATTAAAGCATTACTTGAATAATCTGAAAGTTAATCGATGAACTGCCCAGTCCCGATATACGTTAGGTAAGGGCGGAGGGGGATCAGAAAGTCTCGTGAAGTTTGCTAGCCCTTATCAGTAAGAGTATCACTGCGGCCGATGATGTCTGTGTCGTGGTGCGCGTCGTTTGTTTAGGTTGCAAAGACTACCGTGTTTGAATACAAGATTATTTAGCCAGAAATTTATAGTATTAGCCTCTTGACATCCGCGGCCCTCACCAAGACAATTGAGGCGGGTGAACCTACACTACCGAGAAAAGCATTTATTAACAGGCACATTGCTGCGTTGCTCGGTTACACTCGTTTATTACAGTCACGGCAGATATATTAGAACAGTTTGTTTCACTTGTTTCAGTTGTCCTGCCAACCGTGCAGTTTGCAGATTTTAACTAGAAGAGGCACTCTCTCCTCATCGCAACGCAGTAGATTTGTTCAGACTCCAAAAAACTTACCCATACTATGGCACAGTAAAAGGGCAGAGGAACTCAATAGCGTGGTAATTTCCAATACAGCGCTAACTTATCTTCATTCTAAATATTTACATTACTGCAAAAGCTAGACGTTAAAAAAAAGCATAGAAGCTGCGATTTCACAGCCCACAGTACCAGTATTATGTTATCTGGGTTGGAATTTATTGTTTTTTTTTAATTCCCACGTTAATGAACCGATACATCCATTTTAAAAGAAACAAATATTTAACATAAATATTCCAGTTCAGCCGAAGACAGGCATCAGTCGTGGTGATCCATGCTTTCCAACGTCTGCCTAGAGCAGACGACGCACCCACAGAAGCGATTATATAAATTTGGGCCGCATGCTGGCAACACAATTCTATCTTCACTGAAGCACCGAACAGTACTGCATCCTTTTCTGCTAGAATTGTTTTCCCACCGATAGTATGTGACAAAATAAACGCAAAAATCTCGCGCGCGACCGTGGAGAGCCTATGGGGCGGCCGTTCTCCTATCCCCGCTTTGATGATGATGATAGCGCGGCCGTAGCGCCACCTCTAGGTCGATCTCAAGGCCAATAGATTTCCTGTCCATCGTCCAATGCTGCAGGTGGCTACTGGCTGCATAACATTTTCGTTTTTACTATTAAGCAGCTTTAAATGCTTGCAGCCCCAATGTAGCAGCTCTCTTATTTGACCGCCGATGAACTCGATTGAATCTATCATAGATGGCCAACAGATAACCCTGGTCTTTTTGATTTCTTTAAGGAGGTTCTGTCCATGGGATATATTGACATATGTGACCTTTTTCTGGGATTTAATTTTTCATTACACTGATCATGTGCCATGAGTACACGCTAAGTACCAGCAGGCTACAAAATTGAAAAAACACAAAACTCTGCCCGCTCCCATCAAACAATACACACAATTAGGATGAGATTTCTGAAGAATGAAAAGACTAGAAGCAAAAAAAAAATGCTTACTCATCTGTGCTGGAAGGCTTTTTGCAATGCTGGTGGACTTCACAATATGCTTCGGGGAAGGTGCCACACCCTTGTCCTGACGTGAGAAGGACAAACTATTTAATTTGTTAATTTATCCATGAACACTTCAGACTGCTTAACTTTAAAAAACCACAGCCACTAACACAATGAAAATGAACTGCCCAAAGGAGGATAACCTTTCGGATAAGCACCTTATAGGATGTCATTTTACCTTTAAATATTTAGGTGTACATAATCTGAACTCTAGGAAAAAAATGCAATAGCAAAACACCGAGCATCTGCTAACTATTGTGCAAGAGTCACATTTTCCTCTGCCTAAATACCGGAACTGGCCAGAATAAAGTATGTATAGATAAAACTCAAACCAGCACACCTGTCTCGATGTTTGGTGCAATCTTATGCCAATTTTGGGTGTTTTACGGTATTTCTTTGCAATACACGCAACATGGAAAATCATGCAATGAGGAAGTATTAAATATAGGTCCTTTGATGTTTATTTTGCATGTGGACATACGTGCAAGCCAGTGCGGTGAAGGGCAACATTTATACATGCGTTAGCTAAGAAAACTATGTAGTACAACTTATTAAGCTTCCTTTAAATAGAATAATACCAAGCAGCAAAACGAAGATACGTCAGAAGCAAAGCAGATAATGGATAAGTAGTATATGCAAATAAAACTTAACCCCCTTTTAACCAACGAATAAGAAATGCTCGCAGATTCATAAAGCCATCCCAGCCAAAGGTCTGCATTTATTTTTTATTTGCTTGACAAAAATGTTAGGCAATTTATAAAGTACTTTACAAAGCAAAAGTAAGTAGAGTCGCCGACCGAATTTTCAGACGCCGATAATTCGAACCTGTTCAATATTTCGGACCTAAAGGAGGAACTGTGACCTACCAGATAGAAATAGTGTATATTCCCGACCAATGTTTCGGACAACTTCAAATCCGAAAGTTTGATTTTTCAGACAAAATCGCCGTAAGCGATCAGCGGGGAAACACCACCTAGGAGCCACCATTTTAGATTCTATGTTGGCTGCGTATGGATTGGCTTGGTTGGCAGCGCTACTTGAGTACTGCTAAGCCCTACCGCTAGGTGACACTATGCTACGTCCTTATCATCATCATTTTTCCCATTTTGCTGTGTTAAAGGGCAACTCCATTTTATTTATTTATTTTTTTAAAAACAATGCCAGTGATGTGATTGGCCTCAGCCATTTTGGCGCACGTTTCGGAGCAACCAAAACAGTGTTTTGGAGCAGCAAATGTGGCCTTTGGAGCAACCAAAACAGCGTTTTGGAGCAGCAAAAGCGGCTTTTCGAGCAGCCAAGACAGTGTTTTGGAGCAGCAAAAGTGGATTTTGGGGCAGATATTCTTAGGAAAATAAAAATATTTGTTTTAATTGCTGTACAAACGAAGGGCACTTTGTGTTGTGTTGTGTTCTGATGTGATGTGTTGTATGCAGACTTGTACCGTACGCATTACAAGTAATCAAATTACTTGTAATCGATTACTGTTTGGAGTAATTTTGTAATCAGTTGATTACTTTTATTAGGCAGTAATCACAAGAGTAATCTGATTACTTTTTGAAGTAGTAAAATTACTTGTAACCGTTACAATCTGTTTTTACTGCTCAGACATCCTACAAGTGTACAGTGCTGTAGGCATTGCCAAGCAATTTCGAAAAACCACTTGCCACCGTTTTACTAGTTCCTGACGTGCCAGATTTTCGTCAAAAGTAAGCAAATGTAAAACAATGAATTGCAAGCGCCCCAGCTGGTGCCTCAGTCACGCAATCATGTTTGCATGCACGTGAGGCCAACTTCGGCAGGCTTGCTGTTGGGCATGCTTCGTCGCCCGAGCGCAGACAACGGCTGTCCGATCGAAACAGAAACTATGCCCCTCAGCTCCGTCGCTAACTTATCCCCAAAATTGTACACAAAATGTAACTTTCGAGCATGCGACAAAAGCAATCCAGTGGCACGTTCTTGCCAGGCCAGCAAACAAGGTACAAGCTAAACACACAAAAAATAAAGAACCTGAGTGCATCGATGCAAGACATTGCGAGCCAGCCTCAAAACGTTTTTGGAGCGCTTTGTGCAACGACTGAACTCGAGACAAAGAAGCACGCTGTGCGGGTTCAGCGTGCAGACATTGCCTTCTTTGCTTTAGCTCACTTCTCTTCACCAACTTTCTTTCACGGCATATTTTTCACGTACTGAGGTCCCACTCGAAAGAAGGCCCACCGATAGGAATCTAGATAATCAATACTTTGACAGCGCAGTCTTTGAATTAAAGATGGATTTTTGTAGTAACGTATGATTTAAACAAGAACCGGAATGTTGATGAACATGCGGCAGTACTTAGTTTCATTTTAGAAAGTACCATGTCTGCAGTGATGTGGGGACAATAACATTCGACGTCGTGCGACCACGGTGACTGAAAGGCAGTGACCAAATATAGTTTTCCCACGGCCGTTGCTTCAGCTCACAAAGTAACTCCTGCCGCGCAAAAACGTGGTTTCGTTTCACAGCATGACGGCATGGCTGGTACCCGGCACTTTAGCGTCTGAGCGTCTGCACATATTCGCGTCTATCTCTGAAAATATAAAAAAAAAAGAGACGAGAGACGAGACCCACAAGACGAGAGCGCGAAACGTGAGACGCTGGGAAAACCATGCACGACTGGGTAGACAACTGATGCACGGTACTTTGCGTCAGGCGGCCGCTTGCGCCACATAACACACGCCTTTTCAATTACAGTACTCAGTTTAGTTTCGGTTTTGAAAGGCGACCTAAATTGGTCCTTTGGCGCAGGCTTGGCGCAGATTACCCATATTTTGGCGAGACGTAGCAGGATGTAGCAGGGTTAGCCCCTTGGCGCAGTTTGGCGCAATTGGCGCAGCAATCACATCACTGCAATGCAGTCCTCTTTAATATCACTTAGGAAAACCACACGTCAAATATTACGACCTGGTTCTGTCTAAACGTTTCTTAAACGGTCCGGCAAACAACTTTAGCTCAATGTTGTAGCCAACATTGAGCTAAACGTCATCACCATTGCCCCCTTTTGCTTGTTTTTACTTCTCCGAGCGAGCATAGCGGATAACGTCAACAATGTTTCCTCTCGGCGCTCAGCGGTGTCCATGTGATTGGCGTAATGTGCCTGCGCAGCGCACTTCTCGGAAGCCGTTCGGCCGCCCCGCCGTGGTCTCGCCGTTACCGCCATCTCCTGCTTCACAACCGCCGTCGTCGTCTCACCGTTTGTGATTATTTTCCCTCGGAGTTTCGTCCACACTATGGACACCACGTGCGCAGACTTACGCCGCAGTTGTGGAGACGTCGTCGAATGTCGCGAACACCAAAACATGGCGAAGAAAGCAGTGCAGACGACACTTGCGCCTGGCACACATCCCCCCCAATCCCGCCCGTCATTGGGTAGATAATCACGTGACATTTCGTACCATGTGATGGCCATGTTCTTGGAGACCTGAGGCCAATGTTGCCGGACAGAGCCGAAGTTTCGGCTTCGATTTCCGCTTGTGTTTAAAATTAGATTTAAAAATATATATCCCACTTTTCGCGAAGCATACGACGCAGTGTCTTTCACTAGGGCTTTTTAAGGCAAAATCACTCATTATCCCATATCTTTGGAATTGAACGGAGTTGCCCTTTAATTTGCCATTCTGCAGTCGTGGACTTGCGCCTCTCATCTCGGTCTGGTGAATCGTGCTTTCGGAGTATGCTGGCTTGAATGTCCATGGCTCTATCTGTTCTTCCACCGTCGCAAAGTGTCGCTAAGAAGTGCGAGAAGTACTTGACAATGACGCTAGATAAGAAGGCAGCAATTCTCAAGCTAATAAAAAGTGATTGAACGCAAGCAGAGACGTAACCTGAAGCAAGGCACCATTGACGGCTTTTTAAAGCACGCTTAGACGTAATAAAGGCAAGTTTTTTTCTGCTGATTTTTCAGACTGCTCTATTACTCTGACATTTTTTCGAGCTCTGCAAAGTCTGAAAAATTGGTCGGCAACCGTATTTGCATAGTATGAAACCTTTATAGTGTTGGGAAGGCCACTCCAATCCTTCATCATATACTTGACATAAAAATATTAAATCTAGTCGACTCTGGCCATGCACAATTACAATGCATTAAAATGATACGACCTAGAATCTTTTGATAATCTAAACTCCTGCATTTACCAAATTATTAAGATCAATAAGAGTAGATCGGAGCACAGGACTTCATGCTGGTGCTTCCTATTCGCTGTTTCACCTTACAATATTCGCACGCTAAGTATGAAGTGCCGAATTGGCTGGGATGGCTCCTAGTGTCCGCTGCGGCTTCACGCAAGGTGAAACGCAGTACAGAAGGCAGCCAGAACACAGGGTAAAAAAAAAAAACTGTACAGGATAACCAGGTTTGACGGCCCCATTTTGCAAGACGGGAACTGAGAAGGAATAGAATGCCTTAAATGCTTCGAAAGTATTTTGAACAAAAAGCTGCCCTAAGTGAGAACATGCTCGAGAAATCAAGACGTGCACTAATAATCATACAGAACCCTGGAATCTGGATAGGACAGCCCTTTCAACTCTCTTTCAAACCGAGATGAAATAATCTAGGAATAAGAGCAAAAGCTTGCCGATGAATCCAGATCACCACTGTCATCCTTGAATGTTTCTTCATCGCTGGAACTGCTGGTTTGACTACTGGCAGGACCACTGCGCCTCCTCGAAGCTCTAATAAACAGAAAACCATTGAGCGGCTAAATCCTCACAAGACACAGGTGTCGTAGTATAGCAGGCTGAAGTACCAACTGAGGCATACATTACAGTGGAGAACAATTATGCTTTAATAATGTCCAAAGGGACTATTTAAAAGAAGCACAATGCTCGGCAAGTTCGCTTCACTTTCAAACAATGGTGATGGTAAATTTCAGCAACTCACAACCCATGCCAGGATGTAGCTCTGCCCAAGTCAGAAGCACTTCGGCTGTTGGAAAGGAGCCCCGGCTCAGGAGACACGTAAGAGCCCCGGTTCGGTGGCGACAGCATGTCCACCGTGACCTGAAGGGAGGCCAGCAATAAGTCACTGGAGGGAAGCCTTTCGAAAGTTGAGTTCATGCAGAACCCTTACATCTGCTGTCAACCCAGTGTCCACTGCTGCCAGCCTAACGAGCATACCTCGAGTTTAACAAGAATGGCTGCCATGCTTCCATATGTACCCACACTTTTATGGAATACACCCACTTCAATAAGCACTATTTAGTTAAAAAAGGGGCTATGTATAAAAAAAAAAGAAAATGGCAAAAATGTGCCACCATCCCAGTGTAGAATTAATCTCTTAGAGCTTGGGTTTATTTATCCCAAGTACTATGTTATTCCCGGGGCCTTTCAGCATAATATTAAGCTAAAATTTTTCTATTTAAGTTTAAAAACCATATTACTGGCATGATCAGGTACTAGAGATTGTCATAAGAACTAAGACATCTTCGAACAAATATTGATTTGTTCCAATGAAAATAAAACTGTTAGTCTGTTAATACACTGCTTATCAAAGGGGCGCTGAATTCCTACGCACTTCAACCCTCCTGTTGTTGTAAATAGAACTTTGGTTTAAGTTTGCAACACGAGAGCAAAGGCGAGCACTTTAGCCTGCGAAAGAAAGCAGAAATGGCAGTCCTCAACTTTCTAATGTACAACAGACATTTTATTACACTCTCATAGCTACATCCTACAATTCATGCTAGGAAACTATGTTTCCAAAGCTGAAATCACCAATGCCAGCTGTGTTGCTATCAATTGGCCTCTTCATGCACCATCAAGAAATGTGTACAATTTGGGCCATTGCCTTCAATGCTAGGGTTCCTCGTTGCTTTGTGTTGTACTCTCATAAACTACAGCACTAGTTTTAGCTGCACTTCCAGAATCCTGTCTAGTAAGTTCCTCTTGGATGAAACATAGCAATGACTTCTGTTCTGAAACTGACCATTGTGGAATCGCCTTCCTCTTCTGTCAATATTCAACAGAAATTGAAAGCCCTAACTTCACATGTATTCCATCTTGTGTCCCATATATCTATGCATATAATTTGTTTGCATGTGCTTTCCGAGAAGCCGGTTCGACGTGTTCGGTATTAAAAAGGTGTACTTGCTTGCGGCTTCATTTCCATTAGCCTTACTGCTTATGAAAAACAGTAAGGGGAAGTTTCCATTGGGACTAATTGCCCTGAAGGAAACTCCACTGGGCTAACATTTGCAGGCTTTCATTCCACACATCCAGCAGCCACATAGCCAGGAAGTTTTTACAGGTTTAGACCCATAAGCCCCAGACCTCCCTCTGGCTATGTCCCTGCATCCAAGGTATGTCTCTTTGGGAACCACACCTTGAAACATGGTGCCTTAATAATCACAGTATTCTTGGGTGCAAAGACAAAAGCATACAGAAAAAGATATTTGAGGACAACAAACATAGGAAGAAAACACTCTAAACTTGAGGAAAAATGTCAATCGAACATAAAATCTTAGGCACAAAAATTCACTTTACAAGGCAAACAGGTGTGGAAGTGAGCTTCGGCCTTTTGTAGCAGGTCTGGAAGCAGCAAACGTGTGACTTTGGAGCAGCTTTGGTGCAGTAAAAGTTATGCTTTGGAGCAGCTCAGAAGCCATAAAAGTAGAGTTTTGGAGCAGTGTAAGTTTATCTTGGAGTTGGTCAGCCAGATCAAACGTAGTAATACAAGTGCCAGACATGTTTTTCCATAAATACAAAAATAGCACAATGACAAAGCATCTCCATGTGATGTTGCCAAACAATTTAAAAAACATACAATTTCCTTATAAATGACCCAGCCCATAGCATCAAAAGCAAACAGGAGAGTGCATTTTATGTGAATGGCAGCTATTGATAACTGCCCTGTTAGCAGGTTGGTTCATCCTATGAATTTCCAATGGAAGGCATAGCCAACAAAAGAAGTATAACTGAGCCTCAAGAAACAAGTGTTCTGTCTATTTAACAACCCAAATTGCAAGTTCCACAAGTCTACTGAAAACAAAACTATTTAAAAGTATAATAGTATGGTTTGAAATAAAGCCCCCTTCTTACTGACTACACTTTTTATTAATAGGAAACACAAACGTTGCAAGTCCCTGTTCAGCAAACATAAATGAATTCCAATATTCAAGGTAACAAAGTACATATATGCTCAATCAGATAAAAGTACAAATACAAAAATATTGGAAATTTCAATTCAATTTAAATTTCGGTAACAAATCATTTTTTTATTATTTCGTGTACACCTGCAGCATTCCTTTTCCTTGCAATTTTCATAATATTTGGCATGCACATCTAATACATTTGGTTGGAATATTTCTTTAGTATTAATGTATTTATTTTTGTATAGACCATTTCATCCTCCCTCGCATGGGCGCTGCCATCTTGGAATCACGTGACGCGGCAGCCATTAGGTTGCTTCAACTTGTTGTTCCGCTCCCCCCTCCGCGCCTTGGCGGGTGCGTTGTACTCGTGTTTTTTGCCGCGTTTCACCGCGCTTTCTTGACTTACTTCGGCAACTGTAGTCCAATACGTCTACTCGACGACTAAGACATCACGAGGGTTCAAAGGTCTTTATGACAACTGAGGTTTGTTTACTAATAGTGGCGGAACATAAGAAGCGCGTATATTAATATCGTGCATTTAGTTTCGGAAAACGACAAAAATAGTCAGCGCAAGGAGGCTACCTGTATTTAATGAAAGTATCCTTTTTATTCATAATATATCGAAAACAGTTTATGTTGATTATATGAGGAAACTCGTGGAAGAAATAGACAACAAACGTTTAACTTGTATTTTATCTGAGGCTAAAAATATGGGCACGTCAACTTCAGGCGATTTGTTTGTTCATAATATCACACCTACATTTGTATGAGGGTCTCAATCTTTTTTCGCAGTATAAACATTCGGTTGGTCGGTTTATTTATGAAGTTTAAGAGATTTATAAAATGCTCGCTTTCATTTCGACAGTCATTTAAGCGATTTATTATCTTTCGATAACCAGATCAATTTACTTAATTTATTTTAACACAAACGATGGGACTTCCCGCGTAACTGCCACAGACAACTTAACAGTAGCGAGTTTTAGAATCGCGTGAACAAAAAAATAACGTTGTTTCTATTTCGAAATTAAAACGGAATTGCGGTTCGGCGCATGCGCAATAACGACGACGCCTTTTTTTTTTTTTTTTTGCGTATGCTGTTTTAATTTTTGTTAGTATCTGGGGTCCGCAACATTTGGCGCCGGGAGAAAAGGCGTCTGCATAACAATCACCCTAGTCCAGGGCTGTCGATGGTGGATAGAGGTTTAATTTTGGTGGCTGGCGACGCCGAAATTTACAAAGCGAGTCTGTTCAAACAAATAAAGGTTTGTTCACACAGGCCCGTGAAGTGGTGCCTAGCGCTAGAATTTAGTCAAACTTTCCGAGGTTTTTCTCCTGCGCCCTTTAATTTTATTTGGCCAATTTTACGGAAGACAAATGCCAGATTTAATTTGACGGGTCAGTCACATACATAATATGTTGAGTAAGCAAATGTTTCCATAATAATAATTTATTTTCTAGGGCAAATATCGCGAAATGCTGCTTATAAGTACTTTAGGAGGGCTGATAATTTAAGGAATTTGCTACTCGGCCTGTCAAAATATCCTCGAGTACTGAATCTTAAAAAAAGAGGCCGAGGCGATACTACTTTTTTATATAAATTATCTACTTAATTACACGGTACTTTTTTAGTCCGCGAAGTTCACTAAAGGTTGGGTTTCCGCGAAAACCAAACAGTGAGTAGTAAACTTGCGAGTTCATCTGTTCTGCCCGATGCAGCCCATTGCTAATGAAGCTGTCGATATGCTTCTTTACATTCCCGTGTTAGTCTCTTCATTAGTTGTATTTTCTGGAAGCTAGTGTCATCGGGTACGGCCGTAGACGATGGTAATCTTCCCTGTGCATTAGTCGGGCGTTTCGCAACCGACCATAATTAGCTACATCAAAGGAGTTCGTAAAAAAGCCCGCAATTCAGGCTCAAACACGTCTTGTAGTCCTCAAAGTGGCTCAGTGTCACTGTTTCATAGGTTGTGTGCTACAAGGAAAATAATTCTATCACCAAATTAAGCAAAATCCTCGTAAAACAGCAACATAACCGCGTGCACGTTCAAACCGAAACCAACCAAATTGAAGCAACCTAATGGCGCCGAGTGTGTCAGCGCCCTCTATCCGCCGGTGAGGCAACTACTAAAATGAAAAGGTCTATACTATGTACATAGTACTGTTCACATGTCATACACGGCTTGCACTGATGTCACATCGCATACTTTTGACCACCATGTAAGAGGACGAGAGGGAAGCTGCTTTTGTAAGAATTTAAGTGACGAGTTTGTTGTGTCTGGTTTCGGTCGGAAAGAAGGGCTCGCAAGGAGGTGGAGGAAGAAGAGAGTGAATGAAGACGAGGATGGAACAACTGATCTTTCGTCCAGCTGTCTTTAAGCTCCGATATTAAAATACAACAATTGGCGCAGTCGACAGGATTACGAGATTCACTATCAGAAGGGGAATGAAAACGTCGCGGCAGACGCACTTTCTCGTCTGCATTGCACGGAATGGTTCCGACCACTCCGAAACATGCGAAGATGACGATGAATTCACTTGCCTGGTACACAACCTACACTCGATAGACATACAAGAGGTCAAAAGTGAAACGAAACAAGACCCATGGTGTCTCGAACAGCAACAAGACACAGCACTGTCTCCATACTACAAACTACGAGAAGAGCTCTCCTGGATGGACGGCGTACTACTACGGGGAGAAGTGCTGGTGCCACATATTTCAATTCCACGGAGACTCATTAACTTAGCACACGAGTCACATCCGGGTATTGTGAGAATGAAGCAGCGTCTACGTCAGCGCTTCTGGTGGCCCAGGATGGACATTGAAGTAGAAGCTTGCATCAAAGACTGTAACACATGTCAGACAAACGACAAGACAGCGGTTATAGCAGTACCACCTCTCCAACCAGTGGCACTCCCATCAGCTGCATGGAAACAGCTAGGAATCGACATTGTGGGACCGTTTTACCGACTTCCTCCAGAATTTAGATTTGTGGTTACTTTGGTAGACTACTTCAGCAAGTGGCCAGAGGTCGCTTTTTGTACTCGAGTAACGGCTGAAGTTGTTTGCAACTTTCTAACTACGATTTTTAGCCGAAAGGATACCCGGACGTGATTGTTTCGGATCATGGTCCGCAGTTCCGGTCTAGCACATTCCGAGAGTTCCTGGACACAAGAGGAATTTCTCACCGTCGGTCTGCCATCCACCACCCACAGGCAAACGGACAGGTGGAGAGATTCAACAGAGTTCTAAAAGGGTACGTCCAGACTACGATACAAGAACAAAGCAACATTCGTACTAGCCTGACTGAGTTCTTAAGCGTCTACCGGAGTACACCACATGCGGCGACGAAACTCTCCCCGGCTGAACTGCCTCATGGATGTCGAATGCGGACGAAAATGGACATCGTTGAATTTCCAAATTTCGAGGAACCGGCTCATATCGAGAAGCAGCAGCTCCGTCAAAACATCGCCGATTACCAGCGACGGAGCAAGCAGTACACTGACGAGAGACGCAGAGCAAGACCCTTTAAAGGAAGCGTGGGAGACTATGTGCGCGTGAAACTTCCCACACACCAAGCGAAGGGAACAACAGCGTTCGGACAACCCGAACGAATTCAAAAAGCAGTCGGCCAAAATACGTTTGTTACATCTGGAGGAGGATGTTGGAATTCGTCGCGGTTATCGCAAGCATATGTTCCAGTCAGATCACAGTCACATGAGGACAACACAGGGCCCGGGGGAGATGCTCTAGATGCGGAACAACTACTTAGCCTAACTCTACGAAGGTCCAAGAGGAGCAGAAATCCGCTGGACAGATTTTCCCCTTAGGGAACTTTTCTTAAAAGGGGGGATTATGTAGTGTCTGGTTTCGGTCGGAAAGAAGGGCTCGCAAGGAGGTGGAGGAAGAAGAGAGTGAATGAAGACTAGGATGGAACAGCTGATCTTTCGTCCAGCTGTCTTTAAGCTCCGATATTAAAATACAACAGAGTTAATCTTCTATAATCTTCAGGGAGGAGAATAGCGATGTCTGTGCAAATCCGGGAGGCACAAAAGAGGATCCTGATAAGAGGGGTGCAAATCCGGGAGGCAAAAGAGGATGCTGATCCTTCGTCCCCTCTTCTCTGGCGGTCATTGAAGCGCTCTTTGAATGACGTCACATGCAAGCCATGTATACGCAAATTAACCTACAGCGACTTCTCTGCCCAGCCTATCCTGTTTCTTGATCAGAGAAAGCACCCTCTCACTGGCGTGATCATTTCATTTAACCGCATCTTTTATCTATTCGCGGTTCGGGGAAGCCGAAGCGGGACAAAACTCCCACAAGCACGCTTGCGGGACAGCAGGACCACGGCCAGAAAAGTGGGACCTGTCCCGCCTAAATCAGGACGTCTGGTCACTTTAACCATGGTGGACAGTAAACAAGAACTCCGATAAATTTAGCGATTAAAAAGAAAAATATGCTTCTTCGCCCAGTTTTGACGCAACATTTGGGCTGGGGAGCAAGCTTAGCACACCACTCATTTGATAAACAAGCTTAATACATCACTCACTTGTTAAAACATCACAAGCACCACTAGAAAGCAACGAGATGGTTTGATGTACCTTGTTTGCATAGTCACATTGCCCACCAAAGTACTTTTCCAGGACCAGTTTAGCAGTCTGAAAAGGGGAAACAAAGCAGAGAACCAACTAAGCACTTCCAATCCATTCAGAAACAAAGAGACCAGAAATGAAATGTGCAAGTACCTTGACTAGGATTTCTTTGTGGCCATTGATTCGAATTGTGTCCCTCCCGACGCTCACATCCCTCGTGTATTCCCCCATGCTGGCGTCGCCCATACTATAGCTATGGACGAGGGAGGGCTTTGGTCCAGAGCTGGTCTGGTTTTCCTTTGCGACCACCATCCCATAGTTTGGAGAGCCCTCATCACCCACATCCTGCCAATGGAAACGTAACGTTCTCAGCCTATGTCAGAGCAGCACTTGTGAATGCGAGTCAACTAACCCTGATGGGAGAGGCATTTCTGCGGATGGTATCTTCAATCAGATCTTTGGCCCTCCTAAAAGAAGACGAGTTGAGTGAAAAGCACAGGATATACTTTTGAACAACTGGAATGCACATTACTGTCCCATCACTACACTCTGTCCAGATACATGAAAGAGGCAGGGAATGTTAAAAGAACTGAAACTCACAAAATATTGTCTTCGTTGGCTCCAGTGATTTGCACAAGCCTGTCCCTCACACCAGGATTGACTGAAAGTTGCAAATGGCAAGTCAGATGCACAATGCACAAAGTGCCATCTCTAAACATCTTCTCAAGGTGTGGTCCACAAAATATGCAAGCCATCAACATGACACCAAAGTGCAAAAACCAATATAAAAAATAATAAACTTCAACTGTGGTCGACATTCAACGCAAGATTAAAGCATTGCAAAATCAAAAACAAAACTGCTAGCAAATTTAGTGGCCAAGACCATGCAACACCAGCAGGCAACACAAACGTTACAGAGCTTTCCTGAGCAAAATCACTATAATCCCCAAATTTAATGTACAATGTTAATGTTAATGTACGCAAGAAAAGGAACCCCAATTACACTGGTTGCAACAACTAACCACACCAAATATAGTATTTTTTTATGGCGTCGTAGCACCTTCGTCCCGCAATTGTTCCGTACACCATAGGACTAAGAGTTTGCAATTAGATAGGTCATTCAAGCAAACCAGTGTGTTATTAGCTTTCAGTCAACATTAAAATGGAAACAGGTTGATACTTGTGACAATCTGCTACACATACTCATACAATAGACCACCGTCCACGCTTCAAACTACCATGTGAAGTTTTGAGAAGCGGCGTGCGTGACAAAAGCAAGTAAATTTACCTCAGTATGATTACCGTTTCCCTTTCCTCGGAATTACATCAAATTGCCAAAAGTGTGCACACTGCCACCCCTAGTCATGAACTCAGAGGGGTCTTTCGCATGGCCGCAGTGTCCATTTTAGCCTAGCTTCATAAACAAGATATTCTGGGATAAAGCAAGGCCATACATAGCCCCCGTCACAACTCTTCCATGGGTGTCATGTGGTCAACCATTCTTGAGGCTCAGAAGTATCGACCACTTGCAAGTCGAATGTACATTACATCCAGTCTCCTAGCATGCCAGTTTTGTGGTGCCTACAGAATTCACTGCCCATCTCTTGGGAATCCTGCCTATGTCTAAATTTTGGAAACCTGCACAAAGCGAGATTGCAATCCTCAATGGTCAAGCGCCTAGCCAGCAGATCTAGCCGGCCTTGATCTACAGCTTGGTCAGTGGCCATAGTCTCCCAGAACCACGGGAGAATACCTCCATGGTTATCTTCCATGAAGGTATTCTCCATGGAACCCAAAGAGCATTGAAGAGCAGAGTAGAGCCCACAGAACCAGCACAGAATGAAGACTCCAAGAACCTTACAATGCCCATGTTGCCAGCAAAACCATAGTACTATCGGGCAAAAATTGTGAAAAGAATGAAACTGACAAATTTGGCTACTTTCTTATTTTGGGTTGCTCGCCAAGAGGATCATTTACAAGTTTCAATGCTTCAATTGGCCCCTTATTTTGACCTTCAGGACCCCATTCGGACAGTTTAAAGAAGCAAACTTTCCAATTCAGAACCACACAGCAACAACTGGCTCATAGGGCTTCAGCTAATCTTTGCCCATATGTCTCCACCTCCCTACCCAAAGAAAAATATAAAAACATACAAAAAGCACACAGGTATAAATCCGAAAAACGCTAATGAAATAGACCTCTTGGAAAATCGAAGCGGTCCTAGCGGTGTAGTGCCGTGCAAAGCATCTTGGGAATCCATTGATCAGAGTTTCGATTTGCCAATCTCGATTCACGACATCCCGTCACGACCAAATACAGCGCACGCATTTTCAAATATGCGCCTTTCCTTAAATTTATAATACTGTAGGTGTTGCCTAACAATATGAATAGAATGCTGGGGCACGTTTTTTGGGGTTCCCGACGTACGAGAGCTTGTGCGCAGGTGAACACAGGAAGAAGTGCACTGCGTCGATCATCCCATTTCATTGTCTCAATATCCTAGGCTTCTTAAATGATCCGTAACCTAGGAGGATCACGCTGCACTAGCCAGGCCGCCAGGAAGGTTTGGGACACGGCCGGTCACACTCCTACTCCTTACTAAATCTATGCAGGTCATTACAACCGCTGGAGGTCCACATTTCAAAAGGGACTCCCACGAAGATGAACGGATACAATGCAAGCGAGCGCAGACTTTATTTTCATGCAGTGCCGAGATGCACTACTTCATCAACAGGACGATTGGAATCATGCCACTCCTCTCCGTGGCCAAAGAGGTCCTCTCCATGTGTTGCATGGACTTTTGGAAGTAGTCTATTGCAGCATGCGACATTTGGAGTTGAGCAGAGGACCTATGCATGCAGCTTGCTGTAGCTGTCTGTCTTTGCCACACTATATATAGTATGAACATTGGTGAACTAAACTGGATTCAAAAAAGCTCTCACGAATAATATAGTCAAACAATACTGCATACAAAAATGTATGAATCTACACACAAGTTGCAGTTGTACACTTGTTTCCCGACCAGTTTCTCATCCCCTGAATTCCATAGGTCATAACGAAGTTTGATTTTAGTTTTATTATACTTCAAGGTGGCTTTAGAACAACCAGACTGACGAGTAAGGAATCTTAATTTATTTATAAATTGAATACCCTTGAACCGAAGGGCCTGAGCATTTCTAAAGGAACATTACCATCTTCATTCCTTGATATTTAATATAGATCTTTTAATTGGCACCACACTGTTTTTTTTTTTCTTGCTTGATTGTTTAACATGACAAAAGCAAATATTTCTACATATTATGGCATCAGGTATAGTTGGCTTCCTACAAACCACATGCCCCAAAACTGATTATGCCAAAGTAACTGCATGATTCTTCGAATTGAATTTTGTAAGAAGGCTTAGCGAGTTTAAAATTTTCTTATATCAGACCATTAAGTGAGATATTTATTTTGTAGACATTTTTCATTCCACAAGCATCTTTTCCAAAACTTCTTTGCAAACATTTTTACCCTGCAAAAAAAAAAAAAGTTAGCCAGCTTTTAAACAGACTGAAGAAAGACCTGTCAGGAACAAAACATTTGTCACCACCTGCACCTCTGTGTCCATCTCCTCAACAACTACGGGCAGTATTAGACTTGTAGTGACTGGCTTTTATCTGGACAAAAGGAGGCCAAAGAAAACCACGGGCCACAGACCCGTGCTCAGTTGGTCATATCAACCAGGCATCACGAGACAGAACACCAACGGTATGGTTAGTCAAAGCTCTGCTCATCTACATCAATGAACTTTCTCATGTAAATAGTTGTAAATTTGTATATACTATTAAAAGCGAATAAACATACCTTCCTACAATTGGTGACGCAGACGAGATATGAACATGCAACCTTCTAATAAAGTACTTAGTAAACCATATGCTAGGGCTTTACATTGCTAGCAGGAGCTTGTACCATCACTTCGAAGCATGGATTAAGCACGCACCCACCATACTCCTTTTCACAATAACTTGGAAAACTGTGGAGGCTAGGGCCCCGTGACCCAATAAGAGCGTCGAAGCAAGGCACATGACCCGACGTCATGGTAGCATTTGTGTAACCACGCCAAATGCGAGGTGCGAGGCCCGGAGGAACCGGCCGTCGCCTGCTAGCCAAGGGTCGTCTGCTCCGAAACCAACCAATTTCGGATGGACGTCCACTGCAGCAACGTATCCATCCGCTAGAATAGCGAGCACTTCAGGAACAGTTCAGGAGCTGATATGGTTGTGACATCACTTCTTTGGTTTAAATATAATTGAAACTCATAAATTTGTGATTATTTATTCTTCATATCTTCTCGTTAAGATGGAAGCGCGAGTTCAATTGCCATTAAAACAAAAAGAAGCCTAGAACTACTTTTCGTTGCGGATGGCGCTGTTGCTGTGGGGGTAGGGAGGCCCCTATGGCCTCGACCATGGAGTGTTGTCACGTGCCTTGCTCCGGCGCTCTTATTGGGTCGCAGGGGCCGCAACCTCCACAGTTCCCCAAGTTATCGTGAAATGGAGTCTAGGCCCGCAATCCACAGCGTGAGGTCCACTGAAACTATTGTTTGACCGTATAAACAGTGGCTATAGTATGACTGAGCCCCAAAGTAGAAAATATCATTCCAACTCACAGAACCCTCTATGTTATCCACTGTATAATATTGATTTTCGCAAGCCCCGAATTTATGTAAATGCATCCTACGGCTGCCAGTCTACACAACTCAAATAAAATGAGCATTTTTAATGCAAAAGCATTGACCATCCCATGGAGCGAGCCAACGTCACCAGCCGCACCAAACGGCAACTAAATTACCCTCTCCCAATGGAGCGAAGTGAAGTCGCAATCTGAGGCATCCCAGCTTTGAAGCCGCACAAAAAGACATGCAAAACAACAGCTAAATGAAGCCGAAATCTGATGGCCAGGGCCGTCACACGTCAGTTTCAAGGAGAGCCACCCCATGGCACTACGTGCCCGCGCCAGAGCGTGCCGGGAAAAGGAAGCTGTTGGCTGGCCGGGCCAGCCGGGCCCCCAAACCAGAGCCCGCTGGGCATACTCTGGGGCGACTGCACGTCCATGTTAGCGTGGCACGCCCGCTCGCAAGAACCCAACTCATGCTTTCGCATTCACAACTGATAAGAAGTGCTTAGGTGTACCTCGAGCCTTTTTTTGTTAGAAATATAGTTCAAGATAAAAAAAACAATAATGTTTTAGGGGGTCACAAATATTGCTCCATGGCTGAGCCACCAAAAATTGGGATTGAAAGTTGTCCTACATTATTTTCAATATGCCTCAACTTTCAAGATATATTTTCAATAACAAAGAATAGCAATAGCATTCTAGAATCATGCAGCCACTATGACAGGTAAATTCACAGCACAAAGGAACTTGACACAATAGGCAGATGGTAAGATGAAGCTGGCAACTCTTACACAATACTTCAAACCAACAGGCAACCCTCAAAAACCAAAAATTCATGTTCGCAAAACGAGAAAAGTCGGTTGATTTGATAACAAAGCTTTAAAGACAAGATGGCTCTGATGTGCAAGGCACAATGGTGTTCATGAAACAGTTCTAAAGTCCAACTAAAGACATGTCTGCAAGTATCTACTTCACTATGCAAACAGATTAAAAAAACTACTGCTCCATTCCACAACAAACCAAGCCAAGATAAATAAGAACACAAAAGCTACTCAAGGTGCTCATAGCTGCATAGCAGGTGCAAGCAGTTTAGAACGAGATTCACAATAGTTGCAAGGCTGAAGATGAAAAAAGGAAGCCTTAAATCAAGTCTAAACAAGGCAGAACTACTGCCAAACATACCACTGGTGGAATTCTACACCAACCTTTTCTTACACTGCATTGCAATTGTCGGTTGTTGGTACTTCAAAGATTTACCTCTGCATGTTTTGAAAGGGATCTTTTGTTGTGTAGTCTTTTTTTTCTGTAGCTTCACCTTCTAGTTGTTGGTACTTCAAAGCTTTACCTACTGCATGTTTTGCAAGGGCTTTTATGTTGTGTACTTTTTTCTGTAAGCTTCGTCTTCATAAAGCTTGCAAAATAAAAGAAAACAGCAAAAACAATAGTTACAAGGTTTAAAATTAACAAGCATGGTCTTTTGTCTGTGATAGGTTAACTACCCGAGAACACCTTTCAAGATACTGCAGTTTTTCAGATACTCAAAAGAATCTGAGTTATCCAGAAGCAATGACTGAATAAACAGAGAATATGAAATTTTATTAAGATTCTCTGATGAATCTGAATAATATTACACTAGAACAGATGTTGATTATCCTAATATTTTATATGGATATACTCTTCCATCACAACAGTAAGAAAACAATTTACTCATTGATCATGCTACCCAAAATGCAAAGGAACATGGCAACAAGAACCAAACCAATATCTTTGAAATGACAAAAAACAACCAAAGAGTTATGGCAGAGCAAACACACCCACATCCTGAAGAATGAAAGTAGTACATGAATGCTGCTCTCATGCGTTACTAGAAAAATGCTTTTTTCCATCACCCAATGCCAACCAACTTTGATGGGCTTTGCAAGTAAAATGGGGAACTTAATAATATCTCGAACTTTAGGAAGCTACGCAAACACCAAAGAATGGCTTTAAAATGATTTTGCCTGCCAACCTGCCAAGCAACTAACACCTATCTTAAAAAAAAAAAAAAAAATCTTAAGTGCTTTTTAGACAACTCAACACCACCCAGAAAACCACCAAAGGCAAGAATAAGACTCTAGAGGGCCTTCAGGAAAAGGCAAAAAGAACAAAGAATGTAATTTCAACGAACCACCGTGAGGCGCCTTAGCGAACTATTGGGAAACTCCATTTCCATTAGCAGCCGCAATCCTAACCATGAAGTAGGAAGCTACAGGAGGCTACATGATTCCACCAGAGGTGAAGCCAGAAGCATGGAGGGACGCGCCCCCCAACGACGACCAAAACCAAGAAACGCTACTGGACGAAAAAGAGAGCCGACTCAACAGCTCTTCTTTTCGTCCAATAGCATCTCTTGGTTTTGGTCTTCGTTGGGGGCGTGTACCTTCACGCTTCTGGCTTCACCTCTGGTGGAGTCATGTAGCCCCCAGAAGCTTCCTACCTCCATGGTCCCAACGGTGATCCAGCTTTGGCAGCAATTTATCCTAGCCCAAAACGAAGCAACGACCGAGAAGTGGGTTGGCACTGGGCAAAGAAGAAGGAGAAGGGTCTAGGGAGTGCACTACAGCTAGCATTACGGCAGCATGCCTGCAGTGGGAGCAAAAGCGCGGGTGGAATAAGTGAGTCAGTAGGCAACGCTGGCTACGCCTCGTGCGGTACATCACCTCGCTGGAAGGAGATCACCGTGTCACTCAGCTCCTCAATCATGTGAACGCGACGCCCTTTGATGCCCATCACTTTTCCAGCAACAGTTTCGGGGCAGGCAAAACAGACGACAACAGGAGGAGGAGGGTCACACCACAATACAATGTCACAATAGGCAGCTAGGCCACCCTTTGCTCAAATGCCCTATCATTCTTAATTAAGCACGCATGGCAAGTAATCGAGCAGTTCACTTCAATTGCTTCAATGTTCTACACACTGTTGGGTCCCTCCTATTTTACAACTTTTCATAGCTAATAAGGCTTCTTAAAAAGGTCTGGCCACAATTCGACAGAAAGAGAAAAAAATAAAAACTTGAAACCAAGTCACTCCCACCTTTTCCAGAGTCAGAGTTTCTAATGACAATTTCGTCTTTCAGAAAGTTGCGACCGGGAATTCTGAAAGAAAAAACAAAAGCATGTGCCAAGTTAATTTTACTCCCGTCTTGCACAGTTATGCGCTCGTCGGAAATCGGAATAACAACTTTGTCTCCAGTCCTTGGCCTACTTCGGTTTGCTTACACTTACTTGGCGGGTTTTCCAAACTTCCCCGAACTTTTGAGCACTTCGGTGGGCTGGAGAGAAAGCGGCGGTGATGCCGAGGCAGGAAGGGACGCCTGCTGCGAAGGCTGAGTTGCATAGGCCAGCTGAGTCGACGACGAGTTTGCGAGTGGTGTAAAGTCGTAACTCTGGGAAATCTGCATTGAAGGAAGAAAAGTATCCATTCACAGATGAAATGGGCCCATTTCATGCACCTATACTTTCAGCACTGCTGGAAAACAAAACAGATCAAAAGCATAACAAGAGGTCATCTTAAAGCACTTCCCGCCTGCACCAAGCTACATCGGCCCACAGCCCTGTACTCACACTAGCTGCCGTAACCTAAACAAATTGTTAGTCGTTGACAGGATAAGAACAACATACATATCGACCCACCTCGAGCCCACAGCATTTTGCAGAGTCCTCACCATGTGTGCGGACGTGAAATTCAAGCAATGCTACGAAGAGCAGCGGGATAATGCAGACATCAAGACCCCTCAAAATTACTGCTCGACCATCTAATCCAGTAAGTGACAAGACTGCCACAATTGACCCAAGTTTCTTTCACTTATACACATTCCTTTCTAGATACACCAATAAATCAAACACTGTTGATACAGAAGAGTTGTTAACTCTACTAAGACAATGCAGTAATAAAAATGTGTTGTTACAGCAAGGATACAGTTCCCTCATAAGGTACTGAATGCAAAATAATCCTCCAAACTATGTAAACAGCATCAGAAGACATTGCCAAACAATCACGGTTTCCTGAAGAGATTCACCTCATGTTCTATGTACTTGCGCTTGTAGTATTCTTCGAGATTCTCGTTGGACTTCCAGCCCATTGCACGTAGCTCAATTACTTCCAGCAGCCTCAGACGATCAATCACATCAAGCCTCTCATCCCGAGAGGCATTGCGCAGGGTGACAAAATAACAGTCCAGTTGTTCTGGAATAGAGCCACTCAATATACTGACTTGCATTTCCAGGATTTTAAGAGCATGTTTACTGTAAAATACCGTAGAAGCACCCACTATTAACATTTCCCAAATTTGGGAATTCTGCAAATTATACGGAATGTGCCCGATTTGACCGGACAAGCACCCATTTAACCAAGTAATCGGTGAAAGCAGGGTGGACGCTGCCCTGGTATTTTATGGTAGTGTTATATTCAATTCAGAACAGCATTCTAACTAATAAATAAATGTTAAAAAACCTTAAAGTGGCATTGAAACCCGGGTGTCTAGCAAATTATTCTATTAAAATTCCCGGACTTTTCCAGGTTTTCCCTGACAATTTCAGGTGAAATTTCCTGACCACTGTAGAGGCAGTTAAATATACAAGACCATTACAACACAAGGAGTTGAGCATTGTGAGGATCATCTTGCACGGGCTTAATCCAATTTGTATATTCCAAAATATTCGGGTTTGTCCAGTTCGGAATAAACGAGCACTTTCTTGACATAGACATCGCCAGGGAAGAGGCTACTTCCGGAAACACAATGAAAACACGACGCAGAGAGAGAGAGAGAGAGAGAGAAGGTGTTTGGAAAGGAATGTATAGTGCTGTAGGCTCACTCAGATGGGAGTCTCAACCACACACGTTCATAACCGAATGGCAGCATGGCCGCCAGATCACACTTTCGGATACATTTGGCTTAAGGCTTGGATTGGAGTCTGCGGCTTCCCTATATGTTACTAAATCTAGTACCTCTAACAAGATCTAGCCCAGTGTCGCGCCCTCAATCCAATCCAAGGCTAGGACTGGATTTGTCGGCTGTTCTCTTTGCAGCGGGTAGCACACTCAACATCAGGTGAGCAGAGCCGGCGCACCACTCTAAGCAGAATTTATTGCCTATTTTTCTGCCCCCAAGTCCTCAAGTCTTTGCTCAAGGCACTCTATGGCGTTTCCGGCTCATTTTCCCCGACAGAACTCGCCTTTTAACTATCCCTGACAATTGCCCGATCTTTCCGAGTAATTAAAATTTCCCAAACAATTCCTGGTTTTCCCGGTCGCTAGACACCCTGGAAACCTTCCCTTCCATCCCTCCCGCCCCCCCCCCCTCAAAAGTTCTTTATTTGCGTCAAACACTAAACTGTGGAGGCTAGGGCCCCGCGGCCCAATAAGAGCGTCTGAGCGAGGCACGTGACCCAACGTCCCGGGAACATTTGTGTCACTACGCAAAATTAAAGGCCAGTGACTTTACACCAAATGAGAGGCGTGAGGCCCGGAGGAACCGGCTGTTGTCTGTTAGACAAGAGTCGTCTGCTCCGAAACCAACCAACTTCGGATGAACGTCCACCACGGCAACATTTTCGTCCGCTAGAATAGCGAGCACTTCAGGAACAGTTCATGAGACAACCATACGCTCAATTCAGCCAAATATCTGTGGCAGGTGCTAATACCAGGCCACAGTGCGATTTTTGAGCGTTAACAGCCAATTACACGGCTGCGATCGCCAACGGCCACGGCGCTACAAGGAGAAAAAAAAAAATCGGCAGCGGATACGGATGTGACGTCACTTTTTTTCTGTAAATGTTATGGAAACTCATAAATTTGTGATTATTTACTTCTTATTCATTATATCTTCTCGTTAAAGGTGGAATAGTGCGTGTTCAATTGCCGTTAAAAGAAAAAGAAGCCTAGAACTACTTTTTGTCGCGGACGGCGCTGTTGCTGTGGCGGTAATGAGGCCCCCGTGGCCTTGACCATGGTGTGTTATCACGTGACTTGCTCTGGCGCTCCTATTGGATCGCAAGGGCCGCAGCCTCCACAGTTCGCCAAGTTATCATGAAACGTAGAATAGACACTACTAAAACTTTTCGTTCAGCTGCAGCGTAAAATATGTTTTGAGAAAAATGAAGTCAAACTGAAATTAAAGGGCCAGCACAAGGGCCTTGTGTTAACAGTTTGTGGCGTTTGCAGGAAATTATCAAACTTAGATGGCCTACAACCTGGAAAATATTTTGCCCATTGTTTTATCACTGCACATGACCAAAAAAAAGGGACAGAGCGGACTTGAACACCGGATACTTGACCAGCTATTTTTACTCGGAATAAAGCCAGATTTAGAGCCGTAACTCTTTTGTGGGTAGATGGGACCCTGTAAATTGTTGTTGCAGTAAAAATTTCGGCAAGCAGAAATATATTATCAGTGTCCCTTCAAATGTTGACAAAATATAGTACACTGCAGATAATCAAATCCCCGGGTAACCAAACTCAATCTGTTCAGGCAGCTTCTCTTGAAAAGCAAACCAGCTGAAAAAGGTACATGTCAACATGATCTTCCATCCATTCAGAATAAAATAACAAGCAACTGCTTATTTTCTTTGCACTTTTTGACAAAAATATGAAGTTTTTTCTATATTATTTACATCCAGATATATCACTACCTGAATGGACTGCTATAAAATTTTTATTAATAAATAATTGTGTAAAACACGGTTTAGAACAATAAATTTTATGTGTTGCATTAAACTGGGTCAGGAGATGATGCTACTACCACTTTGTACAATACATGAACACTGAAGTAAGATATGGCGAAATGTCAGCAAGTTGTCCTTTACAGAGGTTCAAAAGGACAATAAAATTCACGAAACCTTCGTCACGCCAACATTACAGATAGCATTGGCGGTTTCGGTTCAACTTTTTGGGGCATTTCCAAGGAGAGAAGGAAAGTGCACGCACAGCTTTACTGTAGAACACCTTGCATATGACCATTCCTCACTAAGTGCCCACCCCCAAAATTTGAAACATCTGGAAAAACATGCACCATACATATGCATGTAAAATTAACAACCGCACATGCGCCCATTCCCTATCTCTTCGCGATTATCTTCAAATTTTGAGTGGGCACTTGCTCGGTATTTTACGGTAATCAGTGCTCAAAGTGGAAGAGGGCACAGATGCCAGTATCTGATTGCATTGCCAAGAAAAGTTGTCCCCCAGTAGTTTGAAACTTAAGAGTAATTTCCTAATACTTAGACATTATAGAACCGAGGTTAAAGAATAAAAAAAAAAAAAAAGAAAGTTCAGGACAAACTGGGTACACAAGAAGCCACACAAAAACAAATATCTGCAATGAAAAAAAAAAAAATAGCATAATAGCAGCAACAAGTGCAACACCCAAACTACACAGTTCACTCTATCTTTTATCCAAGAATTATGAAAAAAGCAAACAAACAACCCATGAGGATTACACAGCACTATGAACGAATAACTACATACGGCATTAAAAAAAACAAAAAAACATTGGTACACGAAACAGGAACACAAAATAATTATGAGTTCCTGTTTAGCTGTACCTGATTTATAGCAGGGTCCGACATGTATATGGCTCGAACATATATATGGCTCGATCTTTGTGACCAAGACCACCGAGACATGCATTTCATATTCAGTAACCAATCATGGACACTTCTCAACTTTGCACCCATTCTCATATTTCTCAAGATGTCACATTATTGAATGTTTATGCCTAGAGAGATCAAGATTGTGAAACAGCTAGACTACAACATGTAACAAGCTCAGAAGGTAGGATAGCAAATAAGGTGTAGATTGTCACTATACTCCGTCTCATCCCACGATGGACTGAAGCCCAATGTTACAGGCCGCTGGGTACAATCACGAGCCTCTTAGAAACCATGCAATATTTTTGCACCGTCGTTTGCATCAGTGCGCCAAGACGTGTCATGTGAGGCGAGTTTTTCGTCTGCTTATTGAGCCCTCGCGGTGGCTCCGTCTGCTCGCTACCTGAGGACAACTGAAGGGATTAAAGACCGTTTAGATGCGATGTGGCAAAGAGAACCCAGGATCAGAAACAGTGGCCATTAAGAAATGAAGACGAGTCGGATCGGTGTTCGACATGGGAGCATATGTACAGTCCAGTGCGTAAGGGAGATTGGATTGGATTGCTATGGCTAAGGCAAAACAACTTTATGTCAGCGTTGCCAGCATGCCCTCTAACTTCTCCGAACAGTTGACATGTTTATGAAATATGGCATAAATGTTTATGAAACTAAATACCATGTACAGCGCGCTGCAATATGAAAGACCCACTGGGAGCACGTGGCCGAGGCGGTGGCTGGCGAGGGCGCTGCGAGCGCTCCAGGCAATTCCATTCTGCTTCGAGGGGAGGACACTCACTTGGGGCTGAGCACAAACTGATAAGCGCGTTGCGCTTTAGCTGAGCCCCGAGTGAGCGTCTTCCCATCGAAGCGGAACGGAATTGTCCGGAGAGCTCGCAGCGCCCCCGCCAGCCATCGCCTCGGCCACGCGCTCCCAGTGGGTCTTTCATATTGCAGCGCACTGTAAATTCACTTCAATATAAAATTGCACACTATCACAACAGAAAACCATATGCATAAGATTAGTGTTCTTCGTACTCTGTGTATTAGAATTTCTCTCACACTTTTTTGCAATGCGGATACAAGCTTTTCAGAAATAGTACTCAGCCCGCCAACCTTCGGGCCCTGGTTCATCACAGGATGAAACGGAGTTAGGACTCACTGTACTGCCCAAACGAAATGAAACACAAATGCCAGAACACATGGCCTTGGTTACATGCTGCACAGCCCTGGAGGTTGATAAAACTGCGGAGTGGAGAGGGGGCACTTTCAGTGATGTGCACACCCTCGCAGCCCCTTCCCTTCCTCCCACCTTTAAAGTCAAATTTGGGGGTTTTACATGCCAAACCAACGACGGGCATCTGGCACGCCCCAGCAGAGGACTGAGGATTAATTTGGACCACCTCGGGACCTTTTGACGTGCAACCGAAAGCTCGGTTACACGGCGCCTTCTCCGCAATAAGCCTCCGTCAGATTGCGGGCACCTCGGCCGGGATTCGAACCCGCCACATGGGGATCCGTAGGCCAACGCTCTCGCCTCAGAGCCACAGAGGCGACTCTTCCTCGCACCTCTCTCCACACCGTCGTTTTATGGCCTTCAGATAGGCACAGAATGTATTGAAGGCCATGCAATCCGCGTTTCATTCCGTTTGACAGTGCACACAATTCAGGGTTGACTCATCAGGTTTGAGTTTGAAAGCACCATGAGGCACACAAAAGTTGCTACTCCCAAGCGAGAAAAGCACGGCTAGAATTTTATAGCTTGTTAAGAACATTTCAATAACTAGTAACTACCTTTGAATGACGATTCGATAAGGGCTCCCCTTGACTTGAGGAGATTGCAGACATGAACAATCTGGGACAAAGTAGTCTTGTCCAGGTTGCCATTGTTCACAGATATGTGAAGTGCTTCCAGCTCGTTCAGTACCTCCTCGTCTGCAAGTCAATTTGGGAGTACTCAATGACATATTACTTTCCAGATTAAATGAAATTATGCAGACCTTGGGGCAAATGTCGAGGTACTTCAACTTTCTCAAGAACGTCCAGCTTACCAGTTGTATCGTTCCGTAGTGGTGCATTGTCAGTAGGGCTGAGTGTGCCTGTTGAACCTTTCTCCTGATCTGAATTTAGGTGAAGCGGACGAGGTCGTTCCAGTTTACGAATGCCTTTCATCGACTTGCCAGACATGGTGACCTACAGCAGTCGATAACAGATAAGCAGTGCTTAGGATGGAGGGGACCTCACCATCACACTTCTACACACACCCTTGTATCGAATGGCAATAGTACTGTATAGAATGACAATGACAATAGTATAGATAATAGTATAGAATTGTATAGAATGACAATAGTATTTAAGAATGATATTCCGCTACAGCATTCAATCACTTAACCAGGAGTCAGCTGAACGAAAATAGACGCGGAGGGCCAGATTCTACTTAAATGAGGTCAGACGCGTTGCAGAAAGTTTTTTTTTTTTTTTCTTCTTTTTACACAACGGTTGGTTTATTAGGCTTACTGTCGGGAGATAATCGTACATGAAACGGCGCAAACAAAATGTGATAAATTTCGCCAGCTCTGTTTTCTTTGTATCGTGAATCCTTAGAAAGTGGCGTCGATTTCATGGTAATGGTTCAGTTAGACGACACGCAATGCCAACATGCAGGAGCGCACAGTGAAGTTGACGCACAATCGTCGTAATGCATGCCAACACTGGCCGAGACCCAAATCACGGTTGAGTGGAAATGTTTTGCAGTCGTGCCTTCCCGAGCACCTCAATATCTGGTTGGGAGTATATGAAGCCCACGCGACCTACTCCTGTCACAGCGCGTGGCATTCTAAGCACTTTGTTTTCCCTCGACATGCAAACGAGAAACCTATTAAGCCAAAAATGCGTACAAAACAATAATATACTAATGCACTTCGTTCTGCTTTCTCATATCCACTATGCTCGAATAAAATCAATTGTGTTCTCTGAATTTTTGTTTTGTTTTTTCAAACGCGTGATGCTCTGACGTCCCTCACTGTCACGTTACCGTTGGTCACACCACGCACAGTTAGCCTCATGAACCGCTACGCGGTGCTAAATAGAAAAACAATTTCGCAGGGAGACATGACTTGGAAAACGCGCAAGCAGTGAAACAGTCCTTACGAAATAGTCCGACAACGCAACGAAAAAGTCAGGCAAACCTTGACCACGAACACCTCTTGGCTGAAGATCTGTAATGGAGGCTGCGTCGTCGATGCCCCGCAGTTACTACCCATCAGTAATAAACAAAAACAAAATGTATGCGTACTAACTAAATGCATTCTTAAATGAAAAAGTTTTAAATATATGATTTTTTTTACATCTTATCATTTCAAAAATAATTTATACGATGCAAGGAACCTATTTTTGTTTTTGCATTGTTGCCGGAAGAGCGCAAGTTTTGGCGGCAGTTTTGAACCAACGGTTTCTAAAAACCAATATCCCTATTTCGATTTTCCAGATTTGCTTCTCTTGTCATCGGGTAAGGTTTGATTTACATTCGCGCCATATACCTTATAACATAGATGACACTTTGTGGGCTCCGTAATATTGCCGCGCGCGCAGCTGGCCAAGTAGGCAGCGCGCGCGTGGTCCAACGGTTATTATGCCTGCCTCCCACGCGAAAAGTCAGGGTTTGATTCCTCGGAGCGACGCATCTTTTGTTTACTCCTGTAATCTAGTTCTGGTACATTCGAGAATCCTGTTGCTTGTTCGAGGTCCGAATGTTCTACGTGTCGGACCTTCGACGCTGATCATTCAACCAACTCATGTTTACAAACAAACCGGAGCGCCCCTAGCGGACGCCACCGGCGCCGCGCATGCGCGGTGGATGGTGGGCAAGAAGCCCGCCGTCGCCCTTAAACAAACCATTGAATTGCGTTGTTGTCGGCGTCGGTGGGAGTCCCTGTGCACTTTTTCGCGTTGGAATTGTTGATTCTACGTCCTCCTAATAATGTCCGACTACTTTAGCGGCTTCAGCAAAACTATCGAGGCAAAACTTTGCGTGAATAATGTGACGTGCGGCGATTCATTTCACGTGGACGCCGCAAAATGGGCGCTAAAGCCTGACTCCCACGATGAGATTCTGCTCGCTATTTTCAGTCGTGACGTCGCTCGGACTGCAAAAGCGTGGTCCGTAGCTGAGATGGTGGACATCCATGGGCGTACCAACCGGGGGGGCAAGGGGGGCACTTGCCCCCCCAGTTCTCACTTGCCCCCCCTGAAACGGCCGCCACTGGGCAGGGCAGACACTGGCCGGCGGCGCCTAAGGAATACAAAGGGCACTGCCCCCCGACCCGCGCGGGCATATTTTTAATGCGCAGGCGATACAAACCCTAGCAACGGCGCTCACGCACGCCGGATTGGCTGGTTCGTAAAGCCTTGCTCCACGAACAAGGCTACACGGTAACCTTACGGAATCCATCCGCGAGACATGGGCCGGACGGGCCGTCCAGACCAGGACGTAGGCCCTTACACAAAATAAAGTTTTGCTTGCTTGCTTGGAGATAGGCGCTGCCGCCGTCAACATAGGCAGCGGATGCAATGCGAGTTTCCGAAGAGGTAGCGTAACTTAGTGGTGAGATGTCTGCCTCATACGTGTCAGACCCGGGTTCTATTTGTGGTGTGGGCCGGCTTACTTCTTTTTATTTTTTTTCTCGAACATTTTGTTTTGTCGAGGCATTTGGCGATATTTACATTTCTTTTTTACCATTAACACTAAAAAAACGAATGTTGTTGACGAAACATCGCTAAACTAAATCGTATCGACTCTATTTACGGAAGTGCATGGGGGGCAGCGGGGCTTGGGTTGCCGACCGGACGCCGCAAAGCGGCGTGTACGGGGGGTGGGGGGGCTAGGTGGGTTAATAGATTTGTAATTAGCAGCCGCACACCGTCACCGCGAAGCGGCGTGAACGCAGGCGCGGGGGTGGGTTAACGCGCTTCGAGTGATACACGAGCAGCCCATCCGGCGTGAGCGTCGTTGTTAGGGGTTCTATCGCCTGCACCGTAAAAGGAGCAGTGTGTGCACCTCCTGTAGTGGGCAAGAATTCCTACATTGGAGAGAAGCGGGGACAAGCCCTTTCTTCAAATGCGTCAAGTCTCCTTGAGCTTCGGAACACAAAGAAACGCCACTATTCGGAGCTAATCCCACAGTTACTCGACCTCTCTTGCGTCGTGTCTGTTCGCTCCCCGCGCCTCGTAGCAGTGTTGTTGCAGTGGGGGGGCTCATTAAAATTTTGGGGTTTTTTGGACTATCTAAATCACTTTCTTCCTTCCCATCCCCCCCCTTTTCTACTCCGCATGCTTCCCCCTCTGCAAATATCAGCTGACCTTCCGACATCTTTTCTCTGTTGATAGGCAAAACAACCACTAAAATTAGAAAGTAATTTGTAATTTGAGTGGAAGTCACTCGGAAAAGTAGTTAAAGTAAACTACGAATTACTAGAATATAAATGTAATTAAAACTCACTAAACTACCCAGAAAAGTAGTTAAACTACAGTAACTTGAGTAAAGTAGTTGAACTACGTACAAGTCTGGCCCGGCAGGCGCTCTGCGTAAGGGCTTTCACCTATCTGCCTAGCCCCGCACACCATCACATGGGCCAAGAAAGGTGTAGTTTTACTGCAGAGGAGAAATCAGCAGGGTCCAAGATGGTGACAATGGAAGATGGGGGACTGTTCCAGTGGCTGATGGCTTGAGAAAGGAATGACCAATTGAAAGCGTTAGTAGAGTCAGAAATGGGCTTGATGGTGCAAGCGTTGTTGAGGCGAGAAGATGTTCGGTCGGGGGGTAATAACAAAGTGGTTTTGAGGTCGGGAATGTGGTAGTAGATTTTGTGAATAAAGCACAGCTGAGAGACTTTTCTGCGAAGCTGCAAAGAGGACATGGTTAGTTCAGTTTTTAGCGCTGAGACACTGAAAAAAAAAAGTCATAAGTGGATGAAATGAAGCGAGCAGCTCTGTTCTGAAGTGCCTCTATAGGGTATTGATGAGGTACAGTCGATGGGTATTCCAGATGGTTGAAGCATATTCTATTTTTGGTCTGACGTACGTGTCAAAGGTTAGCTTACGGACAAAGGGTGGAGCGTTTTTTAAGTTACGTCTGCTTAGTCCAAGAGTTCCAGATGAATCGGCAGTAATGACTTCAATGTGGTTATTCCAGGGAAGGTAAGGTGTTAGTTTTACACCAAGGTATTTATACACAGTAGCGGTCTCAATCAGATCGGAGTCCAAGAAGTAATTAAATGACAGAGTGGTTTTTTTTCTTGGTGAAGTGAATTAGCTTGCGTTTATACTTGTTTAATGACATAATCCACTCTTTGCACCAATTGTTAATTTTATCTGGATCTTCCTGAAGCTGGTTATTATTTTGCACACAAGTTACTTTGTTATGGATGACGCAGTCGTCGGCGAAAAAGCGTATTTTTGAAGAAAGCCAATTGTGAATGTCATTAATAAATATTGAAAAGAGTAAGGGCCCAAGTACGAACCCCTGGGGAACACCAGAAGATACATTTATTAAGGAAGATTCATGATCATTATGGACGTGACCTGTACACGGGAAAAAAGAAAGTCACGAATCCATGCAAACGGTTATTGGTCGAGGCAAAAAGATGATAGCTTGGAAAGAAGGCGTTGATGGAAGACACGGCCGAACGCTTTGGAAAAAAAAAAAAAAACTGCGACAGTTTGGACGTGACATTCAAGGTTAGTGTGCGAGTCATGGATGAAGTCGCAGAGTTGTGTTTCGCAGGAAAGTACCTTTTGAAAACCGTGCTTCTGTTTAAAGAAAAGAAATGGGATGATAGGTGCCTCATGATATTGGAGTAGAGGATATGCTCAAGTAGTTTGCAAGAAATTGAAGTCAAAGGAATAGGGCGATAATTAGATGCGGAAGAGCGGCTGCCCTGTTTAAAGACTGGGAATTACCCTTCCCACCTTTTGGTCAGGTGGAAGGCAGCTTTGAGATAAGGACTGAATAAAGATGAGTTTCAAATACTCACTAGAAATAACACTGGTGTTTTATTTTAAATTTTAGAGTTGATGTTATCGGTTCCAGCGGACGAAGTAAGTTTTAGTTTATCAATCAATGTTTTAATACCGGTGGAGTTAACGTTAATAGGATGCATGCGCTCGTAAAGCTCTTCAGGGAGAGTGGGGACGGAGTCCAAGCACTCGTTAGTAAACAGTGATGGAAAGTATTCGTTAAACGCAGAACGATCATGCTCGACGTTGCACATCCGACATTCCTAACTCTCCCCATCTTCCTAAACGTCCGTGTGTGTCCTAACACCAGAAACCGGAATTTTAAAGGTTAAAAACGGCACGTTGCGAATATGGAACGCGCACTTTCATGCAAAGCTGATGTCAAGTGACTCAAATCGAAAAACATGCATATTTACAATTTTGTTATTTCTTCTGGTGAAGGCTAAGCAACCGTTGCATCCTTTTTCGCGCACGAAACGGTGACTCCCATAGAAAGTAAGAACGCCAGTGATTGCCTTTATTTTAACAATGTAAACACACTTGCAGGCGTGCGCTGATGAAGCCTCAAAATCAAAGCTCTCGTAGTGTGATTCGTGACTGCGCCGGCTACTACCCAACCTCGTTGTCACGCCACTTTCTGCAAGCAAACACTAAAATTGCCATTAAACATACAAAAACGACATCGATACAATTATCTTCTAGAATACCACCTTATTTAGTCATAACTGTTTCAATAGGCACTACAAGTTGTATTCATTTTAAGAAGAAGCAAAATTTTTTTTTTCGTTAGAAAAAACAAAATATCAATGTTAAGTCTGGTAACGTTGTAATTTTGCCGAATCATTGCCAAATCTTTAGAAAAGTTCGACAAAAGTTGCGCCGAATTTTCGATTTGGGGGGGACGGGAGAGGGTCTGGTTTGCCCCCCCACTCAAAAGCAAGTTGGTACGCCACTGTGGACATCGATACTGAAAACCGCAAGTAGAATCGGGCATTACAAGTCGGTGATGGCCACTGGTAACAATGATCAACAACTTCTTGTATCTGTTTACAGTTAGCCGACTTACCCCGACCAACCTTCAAAAGTGTTTTGAGGCCTGCACTTAGTTCGTATCGCAATTACCGGGTCAACGTTCGGTTTACGGGCCGCTGTCGTTTGAACGAACTGACGACAAAAAGCAGCCAAGTTTGAAAGAGCAGACGACAGTTCGAATGCACG